ATATGTATACCAATACAATATTTTATATCTCCCAGGTCCTTTATTTTAAATTGTTTTTGAAGCTCTTCCTTAACGTATTTTTTTGTGTCCATATTATTTGTAAATAAAATTAGGTCATCAACATATACAGCTAAAAAAAACATGTTATTGTTGTCCACAATTTTATAATAGATACAAGGATCTAACTTGTTCTGTGATAGACCCATTCCTTTCAGCGTAGAACTAAGCTTCTTGTTCCATTGCCTACTGGCCTGTTTCAATCCATATAGAGATTTTCTCAGTCGACATACTTGTTTACCATTGTCATACAGTGGTGGTTGTAACATATATATCTCCTCCTCTATATCCCCTTGAAGAAAGGCTGATACGGCGTCCATTTGACAAATGTCCAAATCAAATTTAACTGCCAAAGCAAACAAATATCTCAAGGAAGCATACCTTACAACCGGTGAAAATACTTCCGTGTAATCTATCCCAGGTTTTTGTGAACAACCTTTAATCACAAGCCGTGCTTTATACTTAACTATTTCCCCATTTTCATTAGTCTTCCTCTTGAAAACCCATTTGCATGGTAAAGGAAGTTTGTTATCTGGAAGAGTAGTAATTTCCCAAGTATTATTTTCTAATAAGGACTGATACTCCTCGTCCATTGCTGATTTCCAATGTTCAGCATCAGTGCTCGACAAGGCTTCTTCAACAGTTAGTGGATCTGAAATCTGTTGAACACACATGAAATTATTGTGTTTCTTGTGAGATCTTAAAGTCATATTTGTTCTAAAAACATCGTCGATACTGTCATCACTTGTACTGGGATGATAAGTTTCATCACTATTTGTTCTATACAACACGCAACTATCGAAAGACGTGTCCGTACTCGAGTGTGATAAGGTATCATTTTGCGTTTCATTCTGTGAACTATCATCAACAGGTATGTTATCATTTACTGTATTTAGAGGGACATTGACAAACTGTTTGGCAGGTATGGGTTGCAGTGTGATATTATCATTCTCACTCATTGATTTTTCAATAAATATCACATCCCTACTGATTACAATCTTTTTATTTACTGGATCATACAATCTGTAGCCCTTTGTATTGTCGCAATATCCCACAAACACTAATTCTCTTGATTTACGATCCCATTTAAGACGGTTTTGTTTTGGAATATGTACCATGGCCTTAGAACCAAAAATCTTTAAATGAGAAATGTTTGGTTTCTTACCGGTCCATTTTTCATAGGGAGTTACCTCATCCAAAACTCGTGATGGTGATCTGTTGATGACATAAGCTGCAGCGGTGACTGCCTCTGCCCAGAATTGTTTATGCAACTTTGCTTCAAATAACATACATTTTGCACGTTCCACCAACGTCCGGTTAACTCTCTCTGCTAACCCATTCTGCTCAGGCGTGTATGGAGTGCTGGTCTGATGTTTGATGCCGGAAGCTGCTAGAAAATCAGAGAATATTTTATTATTATATTCTTTTCCATTATCACTTCTTACTACTTTTATTTTCTTTTCTAATTCGTTTTCTACTTCTTCTTTAAATATTTTAAACACTGACTTAATATCCATTTTGTTCTTGAGAAAATATACATAAACTTTACGGGAATAGTCATCTATGAAGGTTATGAAGTATTTCGCACCACCAGCAGATGGCGTCTCCATCGGACCACACAGATCAGTATGTACTATTTCGAGTAATGCTTTTGCTCTTGAACCAGAATGTGGAAACGGTAATCGTGTTTGTTTTGCTTCACAACAGGGTATACAGACAACATCAACATTTTTATTAGTGATAGTTATACCCTCAGCACATAACTCTAACCTCTTTACATCAGCCAAATTTAAATGCCCCATTCTCTTATGCCATGTAATAATATCTGTCTTATTTTCACATGAGACAGTATAAGCATTCCCAGTAACAGAATTAAGTTTGTACATGTTATTTGTTAGAGTTGCATTTGCTATGAGAATCTTATTGGCATTGTATATATTGCAACCTATATCAGTGAATTCCACTTTACAGCCATTTTTGGTTAATTGACTAACAGATAACAGGTTTGCACTCAGCTCAGGAATATATAAAACATTTCTTACCTGGATAGGACATTTATCTTTGCAGTATATGGTCTGAATGTTTACTTTACCCATATTTTGCACGGAGATTGCATCATTATTAGCAACTGTTATATGCTGAATCGGAGATGGTTGTAAATCATACATCCAGTCAGAATGTTTTGTCATGTGCATTGTGGCACCTGAGTCAATGTACCAATCATCTTCATTTACATTGCTGTAAGCTGTAAAAACTGCTGAAAAAGTATTATGGTTAGATTTCTTCACTGTGCATTGATTTTTAAAATGTCCGTATTTGTTGCAATTAAAGCAGCGTGGGCCTTTTCCTTTTGGCTTGGCATTATTCTTATTAGAGGTATTCTTGTGCTTTGTGAAGAATGCAGAAGACTCGGAAACTTTAACCTCCTGTAAAAGTTTTGTTTTGACGAAGTCTGCCGATATTTTAATGCCGGAACTTTCCAGACCCATGATCATAGGTTTATAATTATCCGGTAAACCCGCCAGCATGAGTGTTCCTAACCATTGGTCATCTACATCGAATCCGATATTTCGTAATTTGTACGCAGTACTCATAATTTTATTCACGTAGTCTTCGACGCTCGCGCAATTATCTAGCGATGTGTTTATTAAATCTCGCAATAAGCCGACTTTTCTTGATAACCCGGAGTCTTCGAAAGCATTTTGTAGGTTCGTCCAAACTTCTTTAGATGACTGTGCATTTTCAATATGGACGTAGTTTATTGGTTCCACCAACAAAATGATTTTTGACTTGGCTTTTGTATCTTTTTTTAAGTCGACATCGGTGCCGGGATCGACACATTCCCATAAATCCTCATGTTCTAGATAAGATTTGACCGCAAACTTCCATGTCGAATAATTTTCCCGTCCGGCTAATTTCTCAATTTGTAAATTAGACATAGCCATTTTACTCGGATTGACGTTCGATGAAATATTCGCAAATTACTAATATCAACGACTGTATAGTATTTTATAGCAGTAAATATTAAACTTTGAATCTTTTTAGGTATACGAGAGGGCCCATAACCTGTAGGAAATTAATTATAATAAGAGAGAAAGTTTAACAACGTTTATTGCCCGGTAATACTTTTTACAGTGACATGGAACATGACAAATTTAAATAGAAAAATAAATAGTAGGCACACAAGTTAACAAAGAGGTTGGAACTATTCATATATAAAATTACAATTAAATATTTTATGTTTACTATTCCAACAGCTTCCATGGTTTGTCGCGTTTGACGAGATTCTATTGGAGTTTTTCAAAACTCATCAGAACGGCTCGATCAATTCAGCTAATTTTTTTCGTATGTTCCATGAGGATAATAAGATTTATCATATATATATATATATATATATATATATATATATATATATATATATATATATGTATATGTATATATATGAAACAAAGTCGTGTTAGGTACACCATTTATAATTCAAGAACGGCTGGACCAATCTTTATGATATTTGATTTTTTGGATTTCTCTTAGTCCGGAACAGGATAATAAGTAAAACATCAGAAAAATTTACGAAACAATAAAATAAAATGGCTAACGCTGAATAATAACTATTTATATCTATAGCGAGGGTGAACCGCTAGTCTATATATAAAAATGTTAAGACAAAACAGTTTAAGTACCTACCTTTTTCTCCTCGGTTTGTCAGCGGATTTTCTTTTTTTGTTTAGTAGCTATTAACAAGTATTAGTGTTATCGATAAAAAAAATTGGGAACAAGTTTTTTTTTATATATAGATAGGTAAAGACAAAACAGTTCAATTGCTCTTTGTTCTTAATCCTTAATAATTATTGTCGAATTTCGAGTACTGGTATACATACATATTAAGTGCACATGTAATTAATTATACTGCTTAAATTAAATCTATACAAAAATACAATAAAATTCCAACTGAGTCAAATCTGTACATTAAATATTTTTTGGATAATCTTACTGAACTAGTCATTATTATCGATACAGAGGCCGAGTCTATAGTTGTTAAGATTTTTTTCTGTCTGTCTGATGATAGCTGGTTATCCGGGTCAACATATAGGATACTTTTTACTGCGGGAAAATACCTCATCTCTGAGATAATAAACGTTGAAACGTACCTAGGGACGAACATGAGCGGAGCTAGGGTGAGTCGCTAGTCTACTATAATAAAAGATGTTTGCTTATTTAAAATAGTTCATCTAATATCTTGTAATATCAACATTGTGTGTTGTGTGTGTTTGTCACAAATTATATTAATTGAAAATAACTGTAATAACTAGCGACTCAACCTCGCTAATAATGTCTATTTCAAAAAGATTTTCCAAAAAATGTTTTAATGTACAGATTCGGCTCAGTTAGAATTTTATTAGGTATATGTATAGACTACTTAATAAACGTTATGGCTATTCTTTACTACATGAATTTAGATTTTAGAAACAGTTTAAACATGATATTATAGAGATACTGCAGTAGAAATTCTGTAAAATGAGTTGTTAAATCGTAATATTGTAAAAAGGACATGTATTTACTAAGCGCTAAATTAAAAGCTGCATCTTATTTAAATATTAACATAGTAGATCTTCTATCCACTTACGTACATTTGAATTGCTCTGTTAGTTTTTTATGTTTTCTTTAAACTTACTACAAGGAAATAAGTGGTGCATTGTGCATTAATTCAAAATATAAAACCTTCATATTATGATAGGTCTCAATACAAAAAATTTAGAAAAGATCTTGTTTGACATTTTAAATCGAAGTAGAAAAACTAAATAACCAAAACATCGTCCAAGAATCAGCACGACCACTAAGGAAGTCATTATTTTCAGGTATCTTGCCTATATTTAAAGTTATTTGAAAACAGATCTAAAATTAGTAAAATATAAATTATTTAAATGTTATTTGTTAATTAATCAGTTTAATATTATAACTGACCCCGGACATGATGGTGTCTTGACAAGATCACCTTTGACCATCGGACTGACATCGTTAGCAGATGCCCTCCAATCTCTACCCTCTTCAACACCAACGCAACATGGTGTTTCACAGCAACCGTCGCTGTCTATTGATTCATCTAAATGTGAGAATTGTAAGCATCTTAATGATATTTTCTTAGTATTTTGCGATTACTGTTCGAAACAGACGTTTCGAACAATCGGGGCGGGTTTTAAGTGTAAGTTACAAAAAAATGTTTGTAGGTATATAATTCATGAAATAGGATTACTATTTGTAATATAATACTTTCTTAGATTTACTAAGAACTAAACTATTCTTTCGGTTTTTTCGCGGATTTTTTTGATTTTTTCGTTCCCGACGTTTCGTCACAACACATCAATCATGTTCACGGGTTTCTCCTTTAAGTTCCTGTTCCCGTATGGTTTTAAAAGTATCAAAGGTTATAGTTGTTTCAGACAGCACCTACCCACAAAGTTATATAAAGACTTTCAAAAATACAAAAATGGCCCAATAAAATAATTTAATTGTAAGTTACTTCAGTGCCATTTGTCGATTGCTGTAAAGTATTCGAGATGTTGGGAACCAAAAATCCGAAAGGATAGTTTTATTTAAAATTACTATTTGTATGCCCAGTCATCTGGTAGTTTTAACTTGAATTTTCAAGGGAATTTTAAAAATTGGTGATTTTATAGATTTCGATAGGCTCGTTCCGAATTTCTTTGAACTTTGCCACCTCGTATCTTTGTAGCTTGCGCCGCCATATATATTAGATCGGCTAGGGATAGCATGATAAAAACACGCCACGAAGGTACTCTACCTAACATGGTGGTGCATAAATTAGTTATTTTTGGACAAACAAGTGTCGAGTCGACTTTGCAGCACTCGTACGCTACAACTATTTATTTTACAAAAAAAGGTTATCATATAAATTATAGGAATTTTTTTCTAGTTTCATTTATTGCCTGACAATTTTCATTCTTAAATGAGTAAGAACGGATGTATTGTCAAAAAACTATTTATAGGCGCCATTTTTCCAATATGGCGGCACGAGCGCAATACGAGGTAGCAAAGTAGAAATTCGGAAAGAGCCCGTCGAAATCTATAAAATCACAAATTTTCAAAACTTTCCAGATAACCTCTTTCTTGATCACCAAATGACTGTACTACTTACACATATTATTTATATTAATTAGAAATCAGAACATACAATAGCTATATTACAGCAGTTTTTTTTGCTAATAAGCAAATATGTAATAAGTTTTATAGAAACATTCAAGATTGTGGTCGAAAATACTTCTCATAGGAGTTCTAACAACTAAAGTTCTTGAACATAATTTTATCCCTTGCAATTCATTGTATTGATAGATTTCAGTGAGGGAAAATGAACTTTAACCTAAGTATCTAGGCCAAGAACAAATACTTGTGGAAGGAACTGTGTGTAGGATGATTATATCTAGCATATTCTATTTGGGTCAATACCATGTCAGCTGTAACTTCAATTTCATAAACAATCGATGTAACTATTTGCAATGGAATATTTTATTTGCTTTCTATTTATTATCATTGTAGAATATATACTCGTATATTTTAAATACATATTAACTGCTTCGGTGGTCTAATGATTAGCAAGTACTGCCGCAGATCCGGAGGTCCTGGATTCGAGCCCGGGTCTAAAGTCCAATTTGTACATAAACATATTCGTGATTGTTTATAATTAAATATTAGTTTTACTTAAAACTTCGATGATTTTCGGTACTACCGAATACATTTAATTACGAGCTACATAGAGCTACGAGATCATGTTGAAAAATGTGCGTAGGAAGCTGTAAACAACTTACTTTGAATTTACCTACTCTCACACGGTTTTTTTTATATTTCTAATTGATATTTTTTCGTTTTCGTATGTCTATTGTCTACCTAAGTATCTTTACAAAAAATATTTTATAACAATTTTTCATATATATATTTCAACACTAGCGACTCACCCTAGCTTCGCTCGGGTTCGCCTCTAGCTAAAAAAATCTATCCCACGGGAACCGTACATTTATCCGGGATAAAAAGTAGCCTATTTGTTATTATGAACTATAATAATAACTATATATTATTGTACTGTTTCACTAAAATCCAATCAGTAGTGTTTGTGTAAAACAGACAAACAGACAGAGAAACAAAAAAATAAAATAAAAAACTCTGGATTTATATCCCTCTGACTGGGTTTTTAGCAATTCTTTTCTATGTACAGCCATTCGACCTCTAAAGTCTTATTATATGTATAGATATTACTATCTAAACTTTATTTCTACAAATTGGTTCAACTTACTTATTCTATTGTAGAAAGTAGACAAAAGTATCAAGGTTTGTCTCAATAATAACAATTATTAATGTCTATGAAGCTAGAAAGGCTAAATAATTTATTTTGCCGTTGTCTTACCTCTACAAGAGCCCAATCGCGAGAGATTAATGAAAATGCCCTCAGTGTCGCTAATGCTTTGGCTGGATTGTGGCTTCGTTAGTTGAGCGCTGCAAGATTTCTTCAAAACGTTCTGTATTATGCAAATGAAAAATTCTTTATTCTTTTTAATTTAAATATTAATATCTTTGCACCAGACTGTTTCTAAAGTATGTAGTTTTATCAATTTTCAATGTATTTGAAGTCAAGGTGTAACCATATTTGAAATTGTTGTTTGAATCGTATTGGTATGTATGAGGTTTAGATAAAGGAATAAATGCTAGTGTTCTTACCCTATAGTGTTTTGTATCGGGTATGGATGGCCGGCTGTGACGCCATCTCGCGGCTTGCCGTTGCAGGTCGCACAATCTGTGATGCGACCAAGAAGTGTTTAACCCACGCAACTCTTCGACTGCTTCGGCAATCTGATGACGATGAGTCAGTTGGTTCAATAAAACTCCATCGTTTTTAGTTTAGGATTCAAAGTAGACCTACCTACCTCACGTTTATGTTCTTCTTCTGCCTCTATAGCGCGCTGGTGGAGAAGTTTTATATCCAACTGCCTAACTTCTTCAGCTTCTCTTGCTTGGCATTCTTTTTCCTGATATAAAACTATGTTGTATTAATTGTTATAATTATAATAGGAGAAATAAAGCCCAGTAATTTTTTAGCATGATTATTATTACATAGTAATGTAATAACATTAATGGTATAAGTATAGTAGTAGATTGTATGAAATAATCTATTTAGTTATTATTTTTGGGTATAATTATTTCAACGGTATCAGGTAATCATTAATATCTAAAGTGCATGCTCTTTTTTTACATATTTTATATGAAAAATATATATGTATACATATGTATAAGATTAAAGTATAGACCTTCTGTATTTGCCGTTCATGTTCAATTTTTTGTTGTTCCAGTTCTTCCTCCGGAATGGGTGGCGTTTCATCCCCACCGGAGGTATGTTTTGCACCTGGAAAAGAGTAAGACCAACGCCGCGAAAGTTAGTTTAATATATTTCTACGATTAAAAAAGTTTACCTAAAATGAATTCCCTAAGAGTAAGCTATCAAATATTTTAATTATTTTTATTGTCAAATGTGTCAAATATCATACGATTGCATCAAATACATAGTGCATTTTACTTTTGATACTTGTGCGATGTACTTTCTTATAGTCATATACATTGAATTTGTTTAAAACATAATATATTCCTAGTAATAGAAATAAAAATTTGAAGCGTTATGTATCTTGGAAAATATTAAAAATTAAAAAAAATAGGTCGTTTGTTAAGGAAAATATTTTAACAAAATATGATTGGTGGGTTAATAATTTTATTTACACAGCGTCGTTTACACATACAGATAAAGATTTAGATATTTAGTATTCAATTCATGTAGGGACTATGTGCATGCCCGTACAGGTGTAGTAAATTACAGCTATTGTCTATTTGGACCTCTAAATAATCTTGTTTGTAGTTGTATTGTTTATCCGTTATCCGGGTCTAATATTTCGAAATAAACCGTACCTTGATACAATTTTCAAAATTACTACTATCCGACCAGGCGCACGTTGTCCTGCTCTAATTTCAAACAATTTATGATCTATGAGGTCACTTAAAAATTGTATAGAATGAAACACTTAATTTCTCCAACATTTTTCCTTTTACTGGGCAACTTTTTCAAAAAATCCACAACATTACCCGGACAATTATGACATTAACGACATACATTTTTAATATAAATAAACTAAATCAAATAATGCAACAACCAACAACCAACCAACGAACAAAATTTCATTTTCATTAAAGATATAGATTACAAAATTTTAATAATAATTATACTAGAAAAATGCGTTATATTTGTAATTATAATTTGAATCTATTAAAAGACGTGCGACGTTTACTGCAAATCACTTGGTAGTAATCTAAAATTTAGACTGGAAAACATACCAGTGGGTGGGTGGTAGGAAATCCAAAATTGGTGAGCCAGTTTTGAAGAGTTCAGGAGATTAGGTGTATCAAGGCAACACGGCCTACGAGCCTGGAACTAACTGAATGCGTAAACCGTGAGAATTTATTCATAGACGTTTATTTTCATGGCTATGGTACGTATTCAGAGTTGTTGGGAGAAACTTATTGGCAATTGTCCAAAATTTTTTGCTCCGTAAGCTTTTATGTCAATAATTTCTAAAAAGTACCAACGTGAAAATAAAATATTTGCTTAAAACAGAAAATTTCAATTTTCTATTGTCTTGTGTTCAAATTCATGTACACAGCGAAAGCGTTATGTTACAAAGTTTATTTCAAAACAAACCTATTAAATATTAACAAAATTAATCTAATATTTTCATTACGGAATAGTGCTGAGATTTCATAAATAAAATGTTTTCATATAAAGAATATTTAGTATTTTCCAAGTGTTTACCAGAATAGACGTACTTAGGAGATATTTAATATGTAGCGAAAGCCAGACTTTTATTGATTTTATGGCCGACGAAAGTTATTTCAGCAACTTCAAACTTCAACGTTTGTTTTAATGAATATCGATAGAATGTATACGATTCAATGTCTATAACTGTATCAGTGTATCACTGTTTGAGTACTTGTAGTACTTCAAAATTCATCTCCATTTGTCATGTTATGTTTTATGTTTTTAAATACTAAATTAGGTATATTGTTATTAAGTTAGTTTCAGCTGTTTAAATGTGTCCGTTTTCTACTCTTCGAATATTTTTGTTTATAACTAATAATTACTTTTTTATTTACATGGGCTGCTGGTTTATTTATGTGTATGCTACGCCTACCTTACACCTGTCAATGTCCAATATCTACTTTTAAAAACTGTTGTCCTGCTTTAATACTTATCTATGGCGTTTTTGTTTTAAGGAAACCTAATATTTAAATAACTGAGATAGCTCACACAGATCTTAATTATCAACAATAAATAGATTTTAATTACTTTTGGCATTTAATACCTATTATTTACGAGATTTAAAGTTAAGATGAGATTCATTTTAATTTAACTCAGGGATAAAAAAAAATAGAAATAGGATTTGAACTTCTCTAGGTTAAATTGAAATAAATATGAAAAATTACTAGTGGGCAGGGAGAAGAAGACTAGTGACCCATCCTTATTAAATTTGACACTTATTCCCGTAAAACTGCCTTCTGCTTTCTGAAAATGGAATAAATAGGTAATTATACAATCTAAAATTATTTTTTAGCTTTTATCGTCTTAGCGAAGAGATAAAATAAAAACGTTTTTTTTTAAAAACACGTATGCTTACTAAATTGTAACTTATTTTTCTTTCGTAAGACAAACACATTAATTAATTGAAATGCATTGATATTGTTGATCTTATCGATATTATATATTACTATACAATTCAATTAAAAAAAATATAGGAAATTTCCACACTGAAAATTATTGTCATGAAATAACTCGTATATATCCAAAGATTTATTTAAAGAATGGATTTTTTAATGAATAGTACTTATAGCGGTAGAATGACCAAAAATATCGACCCTTTTTGTACATAAAATTCACATTTCCTGAAATTATTATCCTCCCAGTCAATTTCGGCCACTACAATCAATCTTTGAAGAAAATATTGTAGTGCCATTATTGTGTGCAACATAAGTGCATTATCTATTCTTATGGCTCTCAAATTCAAATTTCGTCTCTACGTGCTCTCCGAGGGCGCTGTGAAATCGCCAACTCTCTAACTCCGAACTGTTATTGAAAATTTCTTTATAGAAAAATCCAGTAGGGAAAAAGTGCTATGAAAGGTACAAGTTCAAAATGGGACAAATCAAATTTACGGCACTAGGAACCAAGTAGTTGATTTTTGTTTTCTAAATTCTTACAACATTTACTCAGTAACGTGACGTAAATTTCATTTGCTATTCAAAACAAAGAAAATGGCGAAGATTAGTTTAATTACTACGCGAGTAAAAGTATTTTATTCGTTGTTTGTGAAGTTTATTTATTAGATTATTTAAATAATATTTGATAGTTATTGTACCGCTAACTGACCGTTAGTTTAACTTTTTAAAAGGTGAGTGTACAATAATAAAAAGTTATTCAAAAAAATATTATTTATTGGAGGTGTGTTATACGATTAAAAACGTAAGAGCTTCTGTAATATTTGCTAAGAACTTGTTTATAATATGTCCTTTTCATGGCCATCAATTTCCCATTCAAGACCATGCCGTCATGAGTGGGACATATCTTAAGAATTTTTAAATTTCACTTTAATGCTACAATGTTTCCAAAAGATATTGTTTTTGGTTTATATTTTGAAAGACGAATATTTATTGCTCAAAATCTTATACTAAAAAAATTGTCCAACTCATGGCACCTTTCCCATAACTATGCTTGGTCTAAATAGTAACTTGAACTCAGGCTAGCTTAGCTTCAGCTTAGCTTAGACACAAAAATAATCGTATTATTAAAAAACAATCTCGTTGAAATCCATTTATTAATGAACGTGCGAAATCAGATACACTGAAAAATATTCATTCGATAGCGTATGTAAATAAAGTTATATTGTTTTGCATAACAGATGCGAACTGTACGAAATTAAATAACATTCTGTTACATATTGAAAATTGTACAAACTTTTTCAAAAATATTTCATATGAAAGTTTCACAAACGAATTCGTCCATGGAAAGTTTGTCAGTCACAATTTCATATTCTATTTTCATGACGACTTTATGAAATGAACATGATGAAATTGGCATGCTTGCTGTTATAAATTAAAAGTACTTGTATGTAGGTATTTCACGAAGCTGACAACTGAATACCTTTATTCCTTTATAAAAGAGTTTATTCAATCTATTTTCTATTATCCTTCACTCAAATTGTTGCCGGAAATAATGACAGTGCGACGGATGATGACAATTTCTGAAGAATCCAATATACAGCTTTGGATGTACCTATCTTTATGTACACTTGATAATTATAAAAAATGTGGCTTTCGTCTTTTAAAAATTCTAATCATTGGACTGAAATAAAATTTTACACAATAATACATAAATAATATAATAATACCTACCAGGGTATGAAATTATCAAGATAAATATATCTTTTGATAATTATAGGATAATTATCTGATAATTTTTTTATTATTTTTTTATTATTATTTTTTCATTATTTTGACATATACAAACTTAGAAATAAAAACAGAATAAATTTAACCAACTATATAGACACTATTTAATTAAATTAAAGGTCTCTGCCCATTATACCGTCTCGTACGTCAGGCAATAAATTATCCTTTGTATTGAGAATTATGAGACTATGCCCACTAGAACGTTCCATCACCGACCTAGACCTTTCCGTTACCGACCAACACTGTCGCGTGCCGTGCGATATGCATGGAAAGTTAACAATAATTGTCAGCAAGTATATTTTGCCGGTGCCGATACTCCAGGCCTGGCACGCGACGTTGCCGAACTGGTGCGCGCAGACGGCGAAACGGTGAGCACACGGGTTATAAATGCGTATGATGACTGTTCTAAGCCCGTTATAAACGTATTGCCGCTTGTCTTCTAGTGATAATGTTTTCTAGAAACGTCGTGATCGACTAATGTTATTCTCTTCCTAACAATGGCTATCATTATTAATTATCTGTGGGACAAGTGTCTAATAGCCATCGTATAGGTATAGGAAATAATTTTCGTAACAAAAATATTCACTCGCTCTTTCTGAGGCGGCTCCCTCACGCGAAAACACAGGTTAAGTACTACGACTGAGAAAACTTGAACTATGTATACGGATATGACACGCGGATGATACGCGAATGATACGTTCTAGTGGGCGTCACGGACTACTATTAGTCTGTGTCGCTTGTTTCCGTGCCTAATACGTTCATAGCACGGTCATGGTATGAGACGGTGTAGTAGGCAGACTCCTTAATGATTGGAATATCATCCTCATCCTCCTCAACTGCATTAACTCAGTTTGCTTATTGAGTTTTTTGAGCTGATTGAGAGATTTCAGTTAGCTGATCGACAATTTGAAGAGTTACAATTTAAATAGTGAGTGCAAGTAGCTTTAGGAAACTATACAAAAAAGCCTTATTAAAAAGGCAACTTGCTGCAGAAGACTTGAAGTACTCCTATACAGAAGGAGTGAGCCTAAAACATTATTTTTAATAATAATCATTACACTTGCTTTAATAAGCCATTATACATTCATCGTTAACTCGCACATACAAGCACGCACGTACACACATTAATATACACATACATTCGTTCACACGCACACACACACACACGCGCACAAACACTTTTTTATTTTTAAATTTTATTTTTGTTATCATTACTTTTTTTCTCTGACTCCTGTAGAGGTTAACTGGATTAAAAGTCCTCTTGCCTTGCTCCCGCTCTACACCCTAGGGAGCTGGGTGTAACTGAAAATCAGCGCTGCTTGAGATTTAGGTCTTAGCAGCATTAGCTGAGTTATTACCCTTTGCCATAAGTTACTTTAAGCTTTACTGATTCTGTTAACATTTGTTACTGTTTTTATGGCAATAAATACTTTTTATTATTATTATTAAATATTTTCAATTATATTTATCGAAGATAATTATCAACCCATATTTATCATGATAATTATCGTGATAATTATCAATGATAATTATCGTTTCGAACCCTGATACCTACCCATAAAGTCGTAAGAAGCTTATTTTGTTAGGCTTGCTTTATAAATTTATAAATAACTTTAAATCTCGTAATTACAAAGAATATCTAATGTTGATAAATTATTGTGTATTGGGTATTACTACTTGATATGTGATCCTAAACACATATTAAGTATTTTTGGAGAAAGGATTTTTTAAAAGTAAAGTTATTTCGACCGATTTAACTTGCTTATTCTTCATTTTTGTATGAGACGTTTCCAACATCACTAAGACTGTATCTACTATCTGTATCTAAATATAAGTGAGCTAAATCAGTTAAAAGAACCTATTTTCATTTAAGATATGTAGTAATTGTGAAATTGAAAATAATTGTTAAATTAAGCGCATTATTTGTTATGAGCTTAATGACAGATTCATGCATTTGTCTTCCTGGCTTAGTTTTTTTTATGTACAATTTATTAAAAAAAACTTTAGAGAGCTTAATTCTAAAAAATTATGTGATATTTAGATGAAAATTACTAAATGAAATCGTTTTCTATTCATCATCCAACGGATACGTAGCGCTACAATAAAGATTCACTCAATGAATCTTACATTTTGCATGTCGTTGCATTCGATCATATTTGATTGAGTATCAGAGGACTAAAGAGGTGTTACCTATGCGCTAAAGCTGCATTGCAATAAAAATTAAACATCGACATGCAAAAACAAGACGATATTATATTTGACTGGTTTTCTTGGCACCACGTTTCCGGTGGAGAAGTAATTAATGTGCGTATTTTAAAATGTCATTTGTGTATTTTGTATTTTTTTATTTAATGATATGGATTGCTTGTTAGCCCTCCCGGCAAAGAAGCCCTAGCCCACCTATAAGTAGCGGGTTCAGGAGTTCAAGTTGGTCAAGATTCGATGAATCACCAACGGATTTCACCCGACCTGCGGAGTATCGCACGCCTAATCAACGGCCAGCGAGACGCGGGTCGGTGAGTACAATATACCTAATTATAAGTACCATACAATTAAAAAACTACTGCCGTCCAATATTATTGTTTCAGTGATCTAGTATTTTAAGTCTAATATTACTTGGGAGATATTGTGACCAGCTGGATATAGCCATGAATATTTTAATTTAAATTGCACTAACCCGAGCATATTATGAGTGATTTTTTTTATTCTTTGTTCTGTAAATAGACACAATGCCAGTGAGTGATACAATATTATCTTATTATATTTAACGAACAATTCTTGTATTATAATTTATAATATACTTTATTTCGTGTATCTCGGAAACGTTTCTAACGATTTGGATTGGGAATTTTATATTTACAAAAGGTTTTGCCTTTTAAGTTTATCTCTATAGGTGTCTTCTGAAAAAACGCAACTATTATATCTTTGCCGAAAAACGCCGAGCGAAACGCTTTATTATATTATAAAAATTATACGTACGTACCAACGTAACCAATACCTACCTATATAAAATAGTTAAAATTTTCATATAAAGTGAGCTTGATATAATTTGAAAGTGATTTTAATAATTTCTTATCAAAAAAAAATCTGATGTTTTTCATTTATTATATCGCTGCTCACTGCTCGTGCTCAGTGATCCCACGTGGATATAAATATAGTTAAATTAAGCCGAAGTATTTTTATACGACAGTTAACCTTATTATATCACACATTTTAATTATCTATGATACACTAATATTATTTATTAAAAATCTGCTTAATGAGAAACATATTATAATTTAGATTATAAAAAAAAACATAATTCGATTTCAAATATATTGCGAATATTGTGTACGCTTTGTATTTATGTATATATATATCTACACCTGTAGAGTGTAGAGATATTTTATCATACGTTGAGTTGTTTTCATATATCTCCCCTTTTTGTTTTTTTTCTATATTTTTAAGCAAACATAATAAATTTAACATTTGATTATGAGAATATAAAAAATAACAATTATTTATCGCTAATTATACCTACCTATTGTTTTCATATCATATAAACTAAAAATCTATATCTAACTTAACCCTTCGTATACCTACCTTTGAAGATGCGAATTAAAAAAAAAAATATTTTATACTCTTGTAATCTAAATCTGTGTAGATTATGATTTCAAGAGTATAAAATATTTTTATATATATATTAAATTTTTAAATAAAAAATATTAGTTTCTTATCTATCCTTTTCTGTTCAATACTTAATAACTCTTTTAAAACCATACTATTGAGTTGTGTAAGAGCATCAACATATTACGCATATATATTTTTACGTTTAAATTGTATTTTCAAAGCCGCGGTATATAGGTACTTGTTTTTGATTGAAAAAACACGTATGTTTGTACTTATTTACGCACGTAAGAAGTTATACTTCTTTGGCGTAAGAGAAAATAATTGCTAAAGATTTCATCCCGTATGTCACAACCCTCTGTTTGTAAAAGGAATGATAAATTAATAAAATAAATATTTTTTTATCTCCATTCATATAAAACACTTGTTATAGATTTATGAATATTTGAGAAACTACTTTGAATATGGTTATGATTTTTCACGGGAACCAAAGAGACAGTCATCAGCTAACTTCATGATGTCGCTTTCAGCTAACTTACAATAACTTACAAAAACAATTTACTAATAAAATTTTACTCTCATAATTTTTTCCAAGCGTGCCAAAAGAAGTATAACTTAAAAAATATAACATTTTTAAAGTATTAAATTTTCATAGTTTCACTTCAATGTATATTCAAATATATTTTTTACCGGCTTCTATATATATTGTCTATAGGTATTGATTTTATCATGTGGTTTCCTACTAAATTTCTTCTTCATTGCTTTTCAATTTTCTTAATTTGTTATATGCATTAATTTTATTTTATGAATAAAATTTTATAATAATACGACTTTTTATCACGCTAACACAATGTAATATATAGAATATTATGCAATTTTATTTACACGTATTTTTTAGTTTACGAATTAAATTTTAAATATACATTTGAATTTTTAAATATTAAAGGGGGTTAAATATTTATACTATATGTATATATTTTTCTCTATGGTTAAGAACAAATGGCTCTATAACACTGTTTCTTTTGCCCCTTATTTCTGCCCTAATTCAAATAAAAAGTATTTATGGTCTACGGTTGACGCCTTGACGCTAGTTGATGAATTTTGTTACGAATTTTATATGATTGACATAAAGAATTGATATTAAAGATGTGATGTAATTAAACTGTTAATTCAATTATAAAATTTACTTTTTCGAATGTCTTGCTGTGCGATTCATTGTTATATATTTTTTCTTGGTGGAACCGTTTTAAAGTTGCGTCTATTATCATTCTACATGTGCGTGAAAGAAATGTCAGAATAGAACAGTAGTTAAGTATAATACGTAGATTTGTAGCTGTTTTGACAATGTAATACCGGATGAATGTAGCAATATATTTTTTCTCACAAACTAATTTGTGTTGTACGGTGAACTAATAATCCGTTGTAATGATACGAACAACTTCTGATTTGGTTAGCTAGGTTTTGACAGCCGGCAGGCTTGTCGTAAGTGATTTACGATAGGCTTCTCTTAAAAATGAACAATCGCAGTAGTGTAAATGAAACGAATTTGGTGAATTTCTCGGCGGAGCTGTCTACACTTAATCAGTTGGATTCTAAAGATGGTCTGCTGAGTTTTCCATTCGATCATATCTACGCTTGCCATTCTCAAAGTGCAGAGAGAAGACAGCCTCTTCAACTTGAAAAGGAAGTTGAGATTTCAACATATTGTGTGACAGTAGATGATAAAAATCTTCCAAGTTCTACTCCTGAGATATCAAAATTATCAGACCAGCTATCAGTAGCTGTAAGTCAAAACAAAAAACTTAAAGATCTTCTCATCTACCACTTGGATCTAATACAACAACAAAACGAACTTATTACAAAAAGGGACAAACTTTATCAAGCATTGAAACAAGAAAATGATACAGTAAGTGTCTTCAAAATATGGTGCAGCAATCATAATTTTTTTAAAGCTTAATGTGCATGTTGTGCTTTGTTTACATACTGGTAGTAAATTCAAACTACTGGAAATTTTGTGATGGAATAATGCTTAGATTAATATATATGTACCTATTAAAATATCGAACATTAGCTTGTAAGAATTAATGCTTTGCTATAAATAAATAAACAAATTTTAAATTTCTATTTATTTACAACTTATTTTTAGGTTATGTTTCATAATAGAGAAAAATTTCATGAAGAATGATTTCTTTACAATTGAAATGTTTTATTTATATTTTTGCTTAGACTAGTTAGAGTTAGGATTATATAATTATTTAAATAATTAGCTTTGTTTCACTAGTGTCAAGGTTGTAAATATTTATGCTTAAACACTTGCACAGCATAGGTATACATATAATTTTCTAAACTGTATCAGGTGCTTATAATATTTTATATGACACCCAATAATAATTGTTACATATTACAGATTGAAATTATCTTTAATAAATATTAAGATATTAAATATTTGTATGTTGTAATTAAAGCAATGCGAATTCATTTAACTTTACACATTGATAAGAAATAATTGTTAAAAATAAAGTCGCCTATTGCGAAGAATGTATCCAGATTTAAGAACAAATGATTACTTTATTGACTTAAAAAAAAGTTACAATATGATTATTTTACATATTATTTTGACATACTTAATTCATACTAATATTATAAATGTGAAAGTTGTGAGGATGGATAGATTGATGTTTGTTTTAAATAAGAAAATATTATGAATGTTTGTTATTCTTTGAAACAAGAATGGCTGAATGGATCTGGATGAAATTTGGCACATAGATAGAATAAGTCTGAGATAGCACATAGGTTACTTTTTATGCTGAAAAAATGTATGGTTCCCATGGGATAGACTTGTTTTTGTCTAGGGGCGAACCCAAAGTGACACAAGGATGAATCACTAGTTACTCCCAAAGGAAATATACAAAATAAAACAGACTGCAGAAGAAGAGTAATGTTTTATTATTGCACCTTGAACTGTATGCAACAAGCGATATCACCTATTGTTGAGCAAAATTTGTGTCAGTTTTTATTCTATATTAATAGCAATGCCATATTTTATTAATAATGAATACTTTAAGCTAAAAATGTAATACACTTAGACAAACATAAGATATTTTTTTTAATTTGGCCAATGTAAGGCTTTATGGAAAAATAATACTTATTTTTCTATTAAAAAAATGTACTGTGAATGATGAAAGGCTTATGGTTAAGGATATAGAGTGTTGGGATGTAATTTCTATTTATCTAATGATATACATAAGTCCTAAATATATATTAAATAACAATTCTGTGCGAATTAAAGGATAAAATAACCTTATTTTTTTTACTAAGCTCAGCTTTTTTTGCTGCTAGCGAATTAATATTATTATATTTAGTGTAAATGATTAATAAATTTGCCATGTATAGCAGACTTTTATATCTACGAAAATTATAAAATAATAGTTATTAGATCCATCTTTTTGATAAGCATGATAGTAAAGAATAAGGTATATATATGTAGATAACATTAAAAAAATTTAAACATAACTTCTCCACATGTCATGTTACATTCACAGCATACACAGCTCAATATATTCTATTTGGCAATTTTAAGATAAAAACGCTTACATTATATTATCTCACTTAAAAAGCAAAGCTTTTTCATATTATGCCAGCTCACAAAATGCGTAGGTTTAAGATGAAGCGAATTTTTAAGCAATATTACTGTATTTAACATGTATGAATTGACTGTAAAATATTGAAATTAAAACGAATATATGCCAGAATTGAAATTATTTATTAAAAGGATTTTCATACATAGCAATATTTATAAAAAATTTAATATATCATTTTATAATGCATTTCCAGCTTAAGGCAAAGCTGATACGAATGGATAGGAGAGTGGGAATCAGTCAGCGTCACACCAATCCTCTGCACGCACCAACTTCGACAATCACGTCGAGTGTGGCTAAAAGTGAACAGGGAAAATCACAGGTAAATGTTATGTAAATATTTATTTTCGTATACAGGATGGCGACGCTTGACCAACGTCCCTTTTAACCACACAAAAAATATGTATATAAAATATTACGAGACGTATACAAAAAAATAATAATCAAAAATATGAAATATTACAGAGACAGGAGTTTTTTTTATTTTTTAAATTTTAAACCATCATGTGATACGCGCAAGCGAAGTATGTAGGTACCTACAGGTTCAGTACCCCTAAAGGGCAAAATAGTGTGCGACGCTGCAGCTCGGAATAGATTTTACATTTTACGAGAGAAAAGGACTAGAGCGATTTTGATGAAATTTTCAGGCAATCTTCAGATTAGTCCAGCGGGTCATCCTCATGATATTTGATAGCGATCGGATTTTGGACGCGATGTGATTTGTGAATGATTGTTTTAACTGAATATCTTTTTGGATTTTTTGGCGATTTTATTTTATATTTTCATTCCGACATTTCGAGTGCTCTACAAAAACCATGGTCACGGGAGAGAATAAGGTTTTAGACGTTTTATAATTAGTTACTAGCAGACCCGGCCACACGTTGCTGTAGCACACTTATAACTTCGTAAGTCAATGTCAATAATTAATTTCTCAGGTTCTCTCCCGAATCACTGTCCGGATGTGAAAATCGTTAACTTTGCAATAAAAAAAAAAGAAATAAGATTATAAAGATCCGATAAGCAGGTTTCGGGGTTCATTGCGGTCCAACATCGTGACACAGGAATTTTATATATTAAGATTATGTAGTTGTTACAGAGGGTATTTATCTACCTAAAAATTTTGAGAAAAAATATGAATTAAAACCTCGACATAATGCGAAAAGATGGTTTCGTTTAATATGTCAAATATTTGCGTAAATTAAAGCAAGTATTAGTATTATGTTTGTTAGAAAATAATTTTCTATCATTTTCCTGTGCATTTAGTTTGGTACCTAATTGTGTATTTTCTTTTGGATATTTTTAATATATGTACTTGAACCATTTTATCAGTCGCAAACGCTACTATAACTTTTTATTATATAAAATTTTGAGGATACTTTCAATTGAGCATTTTGAATGATATTTATGTCAATTTTTCAAACTTTTATGACATTTTTCCCTTACCGGAACATTTCGTAAATTACTTACTAAATTGGAAGGTTTAAAATGTTGTTTAAGTGTTGTCTAAAAATATGAAAATATTATTTTACTATTAAAAATAAGTTAAAACCTGTCTATATTGAGTAGAATATCTGAAAATTTGTTGGAATAAAATTGTTTATATACATATTTCTTTATAAAAGTAAACATAATGTTTGGTTTTAAAATGACTGAAGACGACGACTGCATATCTTCATCGTTTGAAAGTTTTAATACCCATAAGTTTCAATTTTTATCAATATGTTATAATCAATCGTCTTGACCAATGACTTCAACGGTTACACTCCGGAGGACTGACTGATCCACGTATTTTTACGTATTTTTTTACCGTGCTGTAATAGTAGTAAATACTCCTTACGCACGCTGCCCAAAAACAAGATAATATGTGAAAATCTTTTAAAATATGCTATAAAAATAATAACAAAACTTATATGATACTAGCATTGCCCGCGGCTCCGTCCGCGTTCAGATGACCAAAAATAAAATAAAATAGTTATTTTTTTTCAAGATGAGCTATTTTTAATAGTTTTTGCCTTATTTAGTAAGTTACCTTGCTAATATATATAGTATCATCGTGGTTTTATTCTAACCAGTTTTTGTATTTTTTCTTAGAAATGAGATATTTTCCCGCGGTAAAAAGTATCCTATAGGTATGTTGACCCGGATAACCAGCTATGACCATACCAAAATTTCATCAAAATCCCTCCAGTAGTTTTTCTGTGATGCGGTAACAGACAGACAGACAGACAAAAATTCTAAAAACTAGATTCGGCCTCTGTATCGATAATAATGTCTATTTCAATAAGATTTTCCAAAAAATATATAATAATAAGTTCTTTATTTCCAAAAGGTAGTAAGTACATCCAGATATTTAAATAGAGAGATTTAAAGAGATATAATGTACAGATTCGACTTAGAATTTTATTACATGTATAGATTTGGCCATGTTTCGTTCTTTTATTTTGGTGGAGCTTTAGAAACTTTCTGATGAAAAATTTTATGGCACTGACTGCGAGAGTCAGTTTTCGATGTTTTCAAAAGTTTGCGACTGTTTCGCTTAGATTACTTTAGTTTCATTCAAAATTGCAACATACCATGTGACCTAAAACTTTATATCAGGCCAGTTTAATATAAAATATATTATACAAACGACGACACTCATCTTAACCGATGATTTAGCTAGTATATCTTTTGTTTTGAACTATTGAATTTTATATGGCAAAGGCGGCTGTTTATCCTGTGTTCTATATGTTTATTTTTTTATTTTTTCCTTGTATTATTAATTAAATTCGTTTTCAGATTATGTTAAATAGTTTTACTGAGCTCCTTTTGCCAGATAAGGGAAATACATTTCTTTTTGATAAAAATAAACCTTTTGGACAGGAAACATTTGGGATAGCAAGAGCTAATCCAGAGGCGGGTAAGTTGCAAAGAATCTATTTATTAAAGCATTCTTTTTTTAAATATAGATATCATTTTTTTTATATTTATCGACTCATTGCTTTGTTCTATCCACGATCTTAAAATATAGATAGCTATTTCTATTATAGTCAACTATTATCTATTTATAACACTAATTAATATATGTTTTTAGTAGAGTTGATATAAATTGCCATAGTTTTATTTGTTTGTATTTACAAGTCAAGCTTTTTCGAGCGAGATTTGAGAATATTAATCTCGAAAAAGCATTGAATGCATATGTAAAGTGTAAAAACTGTCTGATAATTCACACTCATTTCATTTTAATTAAATAGAAATACGCGGTATTTACACACAAGGGAGGTTTAAATTAATATCTATAAAGGAATTTATACTTCATGATAAAATTTCATTAGTGGAATGAAGAATACCGATGCCAGCGCATGGGGATTTTTGTTGAGTTGTTTTTACTAAATATTTCACAATATAATTTTGTTCATATTTTAATTATTGAATTATATACTTAGACTGAATTACATAATTATGAATTCTACTAGAATTATATATTCTAGTAGAATTCATATCCATATAGTCCAATCAGAATCCCTTTATTTTGAAGAGATTTTTTTTAATTAAATACCTGAAGTTTTATGATTTTTAAATATTAGCAGGTATATATGGCTAAACATTTTAATTTTTTTTTTTTTTAATTTATTATATGACGTATTTTGAAGATTACATTCCCTTAGTTTCATGAAAATCAAAAGATTATTCTAGAAATAAAAAATAAAAAAACACGATAAAGTTAAAAACCGAGTTCTCCGCAAATATCTCGAAAACTTTAAGGTTATTGTAAAGTGTGTTATTTATAAAAGTTGTAGATTTTTTACTAAATCTACAACTTTTGTAGAAAACATTTTTCGATAGAACGTCACAGTAAGCCGGAAATTGAAAAAACCTATTTTGTACGCCTTGCGTCCCTCCATTTCTCGGGGGTAGCTGAGCATCGAGGGGCATTTACGAATTTCTATTAATATTTTAAAATCATAAAACTTCAGGTTTTCAATATTTTGTTCCCAAACTGGATTCTGATTGGACTATAATATAGCATCGATAAACGTCTTATATATATTTGATAATCGATTCGGTATACTATAAGGATCGAGTCGTCGACGTTAAAGTATCAATCAACGCCACACTAATGATAATATACTGTAATTTAGTAGTTGCAGACTTCAGTTCAGGAGATATAAAAGTACCTCCGACATTGGACAAAAAGTTAAATAGCGATAATTTCAAAATGATTGAAAGTAAGCGGTCGACCAACAAAAAGGAGACGAAGACGGAAACCCGTCCAGATCCGCTGTACACGGTGACGTCGAATAGGTAAGTTCTTGATTAGTCTGTATAAATATTATAAATGTGAAAGTTTGTGATCATGTGTTACTCTTCCACACCAGAACGGTTGAATGGATCTGGATAAAATTTGGCACAGAGATAGATTATAGTTTGGAATAACACATAGATTATTTTTTATCCCGGAAAAATATACGATTCCGAAGGATAGATTTGTTTTTGCTTTTTTTAGTTTTATATATTACTAGCAGAACCCGCAGCTTCGCTCGCGGTAAAACTACAAAAAAAGCTATAAAGGTAGGTTTCATACAAACTTTCATCAATCCCCTATTTTACCCATTATGGGATGAATTTTGCAAAATGCTAAAACGCGTATTTGTTTAATTGAAGAGTATCAATACTAAGTTTCAAGTAATTCTGATCATAAATATTTTTTGGATTGAATGATAACTTGTTTTCTCGTGGGAATGAGATGATCTCCCGCGGTAAAAAGTAGCCCATCTCCAGCCCTCCAATTATCTCCACACTTAAAATCACGCAAATCCGTCACTTTTGCGACGTGAAATAAGGAGGAACAAACAAACATTTATAATCATTTTTCACATTTATAATATTAAGTATGAATTGATTTAGTTTTTGTCTCTGACTCCGTACGCGTGTTGGTAACGTCGACAGAACTTAGTTTATCAGTAAATACTGAATTATATAAGCTATCTCCATTCCAAATTTCATACAAATCCGTTGAGTCATGAGGAAGTAGCAAAGGCACTACATATAAACTTTAGCATTTATGATTTTAGTGTCATTATATTGTCAGGAGCCGTTTCTTGTTTAATGTTTAATTTGATGTTCAGTGTAGATTAAAATAATTAAACAACGAGTATAACATGTTTTTCCAGTTAATTCTCATTATTGTATTGATGATATATTAGTGGGTATGTAATAAAAAATAGTACCATTGGAGAACACTCGCAAGATCAAAATCATAAGAATAAAGCTAACTCGAGCTTTCAATGTGGGGAAATATAAACTTTATTTATTTTCCTAACGTAAAACAAAAAACAATGAAGGAAATGAAGGAAAATGAATATATATTTATGACATTATTTATAAATATGATTATTTTCAGTGGAACTCCAATAATCCAAAGAATACAACGGAATAGACGCCGGACATCGGGCATCGGCAGTCTCAGCCGCATGTCCAGAACACCAAAGACTGAAGTACCAGAAACTAGTACCAGTACAAGCAAAAGTAACTTTTATTTACACTTTAATATTTCTATCATTTATCATTATTACATTTATGTCGTGATAAAATGTTATTTATTTTTGTGAATTTGAAGAATATGTTTCTAACAAATTAAATAATTTTAATAACCATGCTAACATCGGCTCAAGTTAAATTATATTTTCATCTTCACCATCAATTTTATAGTTGCTTTGAAAGAGAGAAATGCAATAAAAAAATAGTTGAATGTTTCATTCCAAGACCTCCGGTTATATAACCAATACTAATTCAAAATATTTTATTCAGCATTAAATTTTACAATTTTTTACTGAACGTCATGAGTCTACAACCAGTTCGGAAAGAAGAAGCCTCAGACCTGAGAAGAACTGGCGAAAGAAACTCGGCGGGACTAATATTATTTTATTATCTCTTTTTAAAGTTAGATTATAATTTACAATATTTCTATCAAGTTGAAGTAGCCTGGAGCGATCACTTCATTCCGAAGGCGTGCCATCTTCTATAAAATCATTTATTGTACAATAGCCTTAAGCAAACATTCTTTAACTTTTTTTTTTAATTTCGCGATAGAAGCCTTTTGAATATTTTCTGGGATCCTGTTGTACAAGCATATACATTATCCATAAAAAGAATAACTGACTCTGTAAAAATATTTAATCAAAGTAATTTAAGACTTAGACTTAGTTAGACTTAGACTCATCTAAAACAATGTTGCAGGCAAAATTGGGGACACTGACCCGTGTTACGATAAACAGTACAGCCTCAATAAGAAGTCGAAAATGATAAATACATACAGCAAATCCAGATCGACTATACCAAAAAGGACAACCCAGTTCACTGGGTCTCTGTCAGACAGATTGCAGCTTATAGATACTACACCGACCGGGGAAGATCCCTACCAACTGGGCGAGGCTGATATGAGAGAACAATCGCCTATACCAAAACTAATGCTCCAAAAAACTAACCACGGAAGGATGAAAATAAGATCAGACTCCATGGGCGAGTCTTCAAGAATCTTCGACATACCCGATACTAAGACAAAGATCAATAGGTTCATGTCCGCCTACGAAAACGCAAAGAAGGAACCAGAAAAAACTCTAATTATAGCGGAACCGGATTTGGATATGGTCAAAACGGAACCGGAAATAGATTGGAGGCTGTACGAGAAATCGGAAACTAAGACTAGTCTATGTGAATTCTCTTATGGAGAAGGTTCGAATGATCTTGGCTCCCTGTTACCGTCTCTGGATGCGAATGAGTTTCAAGAGCTCTTCACATCAGATGCAGCATTGAATTTGGATAATTTAAATCAACTAGATTATCCTACTGAGAAAATGGTCCCCGATAAAACTAAAAGGCGGAATAATCGGACGACAAGTTTGATTAGTCCAGTCGAGGTGAGAATTAAAAAAAAACTTTATTCAACATTATATAGTATATAATGCTACAAAATTATATTTATACAGTAAGAATGGATGGAACTATAAGAAAACTGTAATGAGTCATTAGCCATGGGTTTGATTAGCGCTGTAAGCGTTTTGAATTAAAATTATATTAAATTTCCAGATCTTTAGGACTAGTTTGGGTTTGTTGGGTTGTTTCATACAACTTACGGTGTTCAAAACTGAAAGAGTCTAACTGAGCCAACATGTATATAGTATAACTCATTCTAAGACCTAGGTTTATTAAATGTGGTGCGTAAGCATACAACTTTTGTTCTAGTTATTAACTTAAATTTTGTGTAAGATTGATTTTTCATAATACAAAAGATATTCCATCAGTAAATTATAGTGTTAAACTATATTGATATTACTAATTATTATTATTGTCTATTTGTAATGTCAAAATAACAGCTTTTTACTAAATGTATATGAAAGTACATATGATATTTATAAGAAAAAATCGATTTTTATATATTTTGTCCGTCTGGCTGTCTGTTTGTTTCAGCTAATATCTGAAACTTTTAAAGGCAGATAGCTGATGCTAAAACTAGTAACTTAGGTTTTATTTTAGTAAAAGGATTTGGATTCCACGCAAAAAGATATTAAAACCCGTGAAATTGTGAACAAAACCCAACTACTTATGGACGCACCTGAACGAAGCAAGGGTAATAAGGCAAATTTGTCGAATTATTATTAATTTAATTTTTAGGAAGAGGCAGTAGAAACAAAGCGCGGCACTGAAAGTCGGCGTGGACGTAAACGGGCTTTTTCCACGACCGGCCTCGGCAAGCAAACTCCGAAAGCACCAGCGAAACCAAAAAATGTTAGAGGAAAGGGTAAACGTTGAACTTTGTTTATTTATGTTTTTATTAGTATAACTAAACTTTACAAGAAGACCATAAGGGATCTTCGCAAAACTTGTATAGCATATATATTTTATATTTTGACATATTGAAATTATTTCTAAAGGAAAAAATAAGTCTAATTTACTACTTTATACCATATCAAGTGGTAAATTAGACTTATTTTTTTATTTCAAACTGCCCAAAACCTTGTATAAAGCAAGTGCATATAATGAACTAATACAAGCAACGTTGGATGAATTTATCTATTTTTGAAGTGAAACTTCTTTAGAATCGTTCTGATCTAAAACTTGATGAAACGAAAATGCGATAAAAGAAAGGATTAATTGTTGCCATGGTAACCGTTTGTTATTTGTCTGACAAATGATATATTATATTCTTTCCATATATGATATTCCATAAATATATTATTGTAACATGTCTAATATGCCTTATTTAATTATTGATTTTGAATCTTGACAAATATTATGGTACCCTAAGACAATATCTCATAAAAGCTTTTATTCCAGCCGCTGCTCGAGGGAAGAAGTCCCCAGTGCCCGGATTGATAACGGATAAGCCTTACCCCACACTGGTCGGAGATCCAGATCTGTCTTGGTATTTGGGTCTAGACCCAGAATTAAAGCTAGAAGATGTCGACCCACCGGCAGATAGCCAAGCTTCTACGGTTGAGGTAAAACACACATCTTACACAAAAGTATGAAAACAAATAATAAATACTGGCCATGTATGTGTCAAAATAACCATTCAATATAACGTTCTTATTCTACTATTCAATATAGAATACAATTATTGTGAATGATATTACAACATTTTAGTATTCAGCCCTTTTTTTAGGCAGTGGTAGCCCAGTGGTAACGCGCTCGCTTCGGAAACGGAGATGCGGGTTCACATCCCGGGTCTCGTACCTCTGATTTTTATGTGCGAATCATTTCCAACATGATTACCACTTGTCTTACCGGTTAAGGAAAACATCGGGAAAACTGCATGTCTGAGAGAACCTAGCAAGTTCAAAGGACATGTGAAGTCCGCCCGCATTTGGCTAGTGTGGTGGACTACCGCCTGATACCCTCGTATTAAAGGGAGGCCTACCCCCAGCAGAGGGACGTTCAAAAGAGCTGAATTTATAAAATTATTAACTCCTAACGACTCACCCTCGCTTCGCTCGGGTTCGTCCCTAGCTTGCTTCCCAATACAAACTTTCATCCCCATTTTCATGCCCTTAAGGGATGATTTCTGGGATAAAAAGTATCCTATGTCCTTCCCAGGGTCTCAAACTATCTTCTTATCAAATTTCGCCTAAATTGGTTCAGTAGATCCAGAGATTACCCCCTACAACTTCACAAACTCACATAATTTACCTTTTTATAATATTAGTATAGATTAATTCATGACTCTAATTCGGATTTGACCTATTAACATTATATTTAATTTCTAGGTTCCAAGATGGCGTGAAAAGCCATATACGAGTTGCTACACACTAGAAGGAACTGAAAACGTCGACGATAAGGTTTTTGAGAAAAGGCACCAGAAACTCGAGGCCGAAGAAAGGCGGCAGTTACGGTTAGAATAGTACTGTTGCTGTATTCTATATTCTTTATAATTATAAGCTAGTTTTAGTTAGTTAATAATCATTCTGGTAATTGATTATGTAAACTAGCTATAGGTACACCATAAGGCGGTCGCGGGTTTGATTCCTATTGGCATTAATTGACTGTACCATATAGATATTTCTCTAGAAGATAGATATCAATAAGCCTAAATTCAGACAAATAAAGACTAATAACAATATAATAATAATACCAACTAAATGTAAATACATAATCAGCCCTTTTTAACGTCCCACTGCTGGGGTGGGCCTCCCTATAATACGAGGGGATCAGATCAGATCGGGGGATCAGACCATAGTCCACCACGCTGGCCAAGTGCGGATTGGCGGACTAACAACTAAATAACATGATCTAATCATGTATGTAAATTTGAATAAACAAACATAATTAATGATTTTTATAACACAAAATTAGTGAACTGAGACCATGTTGTGCCATGTTTACACACGCCCCTTCCGCCTAGTATATTATTTTGTTTTATGTTCGTCAAGCTATATTAGCTCTTTACATTATGGATGCATTACTTCGTCTCAGTGCTTATTTCTTCAAATGATCAATTTACCGAAGGATTTTTAATACAGAATTATTTAGTTTTAATTGTAAATTCTGTTGGTATAATATACATTTTAATTAAATAAAACCGAAATAAATTGTTTTATCTATATAATATCAATGTATGTATAAAATTTTTAGAAATAAAGCTATGTTTTTAAAGTAGAAGAAAAAAACTCTCTACTGTAAAGTACAGCAAGTATTGGTCGTTTGAACACATAAGCACCAAGGTGACGTATAGCTGACTTATTTTATAAATAAACTAGCATTGCCCGCGGCTCCGCCTGCGTTCAGATGACCAAAAACCAAATTCTTAGGTTGTACATGTTAGTATACTCTTACATTGCAGTTTTTACATTTTTTCTCAGAAATGAGACATTTTTCCGCGGTAAAAAGTAGTATATGTTGACCCGGATAACCAGCTACCATCATACCAAATTCTATCAAAATCCCTCCTGTATAAAACGAAGTCGGTTCCCGTTGTCTGTCTGTCCCTATGTATGCTTATCTTTAAAACTACGCAACGGATTTTGATGCGTTTTTTTTAATAGATAGCGTAATTCAAGAGGAAGGTTTGTATGTATAATACATGCATATTATAGTACAGAAAAGCCGATAAATTCAAAGATTTGTATTTCATACTAGCCGTCAAAACGTACTTAGGGACGAACCCAGGCAAAGCGAGGTTGAGTCGCTAGTTTTAAATAAAAGAAAAATGGAATTGAAGCTGCCACATACATGCATATATACATGTAATATTTACATTTCAGGTGGCACATGCGTCGCATTAGGGAGCAACGCCACGTAGAACGTCTTCGTCAACGCCAAAGAGATTCCTGGTGCAGTACAGTGAACACACCCCCAGTGTACTCGGTGTGGCCCCGACCCCAGCAGGACGCTAAGTTCATAGAGATAACAGACGATCTACCGGTCACTGCCTTCGGGGAACCCCTGCCACAGCTACCAGAGAAGTGAGTGTTGTTTATGTCCTAATTTTAAGGGTACATACAGTTAATTTTACTAACGACTGCCACACAATAATAACGACTTTATAACTTATAACTCTGCAACTATAGCCTTGAACAAATAAAATCAAACCTTAATCTAAATTTTAAAGACATTCAGAAATAGTCAACACATTAGCCGTAGCCAAAACGGGTTAATAGATTATTTGCCGGTCACTGCCTTCAGGGAACCCCATTCGCGGGTACCGGAGGAGTGAGTGTTATTTATGGCTGGTTTTTAGGGTACCCTAGTCAAAACTTCTTAACAGATGATCTACCGGTCACTGTATTCGGAAAACCCATGCCACAGCTTACACAGAGAAGTGAGTGTTGCTTATGGTCTGGATTTTAGGATTCCGTAGCCAAAGTGGCTAAAACGGAACCCTTTAAATAATTTGGTCATGACCTAAGTTACGGCCATTTTACTCGTAGAGTATTCTCAGATCAATCGTTGAATTGATTAACAATTCAGTAGTCACATTACAGTAAATAAAAAATGTTGCAGAGTTATATAGTTATTAAGTCGTTAATATTGTGAGACAATCGTTAATAAAATAAACTGTATAGTAATACTATGAAATATAAAATTTTATGTCTTCAATGAAGTGAATATCTTAGATGGGTTTATATTTTATTTTAATATAACAAATTATGTAGTATGTTAGAACTGACCACTTTAATGGTTCGTGTTACAGAATCGTAGATGTGTGAGACTTGCATTTGTCCTATTTTTATTTCAATGTTGAGTATAATATATTCTGCAGAGCAGTGGTAGTCCAATGGTTTTGTGTCGAAGTGATCGAAGTGGAGCAGGTTCAAATCCGGGTCCCGCGTCTGGTATTTTTTCATGTAAATCGTGCAGACTGATTCACATGAAAGAATATCAGATGTGGGATCTGAATTTTCAACATGACAAGATTTTGATAGGAGGTCTAAAGAAAAGACATATGGTACAATACAAAACGATTCAACCACAACTTTGTTGTTCTTATTGGTTAGATATGTGTAATTTAAATTGTGAAGTTATTGCGATGGCGTTGAAACTGCGTTTTGGACACATTTCATTAAATAAGTTTGGATATTTATTTATTGAAGAAATTTCTTCCTCCCGTGTCCCGATTGGTGGAGCCGTAGAGTATGTGTATCACATTTTAATGGAGTGTGCTCGTAGCGAACCCGTTCTATTACCATTTATTCAATATCTCCAGACCGACGAAGGTAGCAACATTTGTGCATTTCGAACGCGATATATCGATAAATATTAATTTAAGAAAATAAGTTTTAAATAAAAAAGAAAGTAAATTTAATTTAAAAGAGATTTTCATAGTTTTTTTACGGGGATAGTGAATAAAACGCGTATTTCGCGATATTAGTGCCAGCGCCTCTCGAGCCATTCCTCAAACTTGGCTTTAGGTTTAGAAAATGTAGATTGATTTACCTATTAACTGGACTTAATTAACAGATTTGATTGATTTTGATTGTAAATCCTAAAAAGTTATAAATAATGTATCAAGAATGTATAAGAATATTTGTTAAACCTGCCACAGCTACATAGTCACCCATGTGACTCAGCGTAAAATATAATCGTAAAATGAAAATAAAATAAAACTTATAAAGTTACGGTATTATATATATATATTGTGAATGATTATACTGTACTCTAAGTTTTTATTTATTCTATTAGAATTATAAAGAGGAAAAAATAGCTTTTCTATTTGTCTGTATCGAATAGGCTCCGAAACTAACGAACCGATTTAGATGAAATTTTGTAAGATAGTTTGAGACCGTGGGAAACACATAGGATACTTTTTCTCCCGGAAATCATTCCATAAAGGGGGGAAAATGGGGATGAAAATTTGCATTGGGAAGCAGCAAGGGACGAACCGGAGCGGAATGAGGGCGAGTCGTTAGTCATTTATAACTTGGTAGTACCCCCCTCCCCCCATCTAAGTGCGTGTATCAGTAAAATATAAAAAGGTATATTAAGCAGATATACTTTTAAATTTTTATGATATTAGTATGAATTTTAATTTCATATCATTGTTACACATAGTTTTAATATTTTTTTCATTTTTCAGTGACTTCATGCTCCCTTGGGTGAGGACATCAAAAGCCCAGAAACGATCGAAAAGGTCTAAGACATTGCATTAGGTTAACAACTTAAAATATTTTGAACAATTGATTTTGCCATATTATGTGTTTACATGTCAATAACAATCATGTTCTACAAAGTGTTATCGAGTCACACATTATCACGTTTTCACCATATTATTTTATAATTAATATAGCTGTGCGAGTGGAATTTTAAATGGGTGTAATATATGTGTAATAGTTCTCAGCGATTACCTACTTACTATATTTATGTCAGCTTCAAGTCAACAATATTGTGTTGTCATAGGAATATAACAATACATAGAAAAAGCTATAATATCAGAATGAGTTAATGTCAGGATCAGCATGTTAGTTGTATTTACCATATTAAATTTTTGTATTTAATCTTTTCAAGACACTTTATTGCTTGGGGCGATATAGAGGTGTATTATGGTTTTTTTAGTACAGTCCTAGTTTTTCTCTTTTCTTTACGGTTTAGAAACTTGCTACCTTCGCCCACTTGAGAATTTCATCTCTTTTTAATTATTTGTTTTCACTTCTTAGAAAGATAATATTTTACTTATATTTCTTAAATAGTGTGAAACATGTCAAAGCATTTTATCCATTAGTTATTAAGGCAACAGTTCGACGTTTAGCCGTAGATATAATATAGTGGAGTAAGCAGGTAGTGCACATAAAAAACAAAATATATCGAGATATTCAATAAAATTATAGTGACAGAGAGATGACGTCTTATTCCATCTCTCTCTTTTGAATGATGACTTAGTTTTGCCTTTTACTTGCCTCTTTTACTATATTATTTCTACGTATTTGATTCAGTGTTTTAAATCGAGTAGTTGAAGATATGTGTCTAATATCTAAAAACTTAATATATAATATTAAACTGGATGCCTGAGCCCTGAATGTTTTTAATTATAATTGAATTATGTCAATGCTATGACTAATGCTGTGACGTAATATATATCTGTCACTGTCATATCAATGGATCATGTTATGACATGTCAATGTCATTTAATGACATTTAGAAATAACAGATGAAATAGTGACATGTATTGCAGTGACTGCCGTAGTTGTTGTTGTTTTGTCATTTCTACTAGCGATTGTTATTGCCCACTAATGGGTTTGTGTCCTGAACGTTTGAAGGACGTTAATTATTTTGAATTTCTAAATTTTTCGACCTTTCAATCTTTTAACTAGGTCATAAGATGTACATAGAGCCACAATTTCTTGGAACGAGTTCGCTTTGTATTTGCTAACACTAATTCTTGTATATAAATCATGAGGTTTCTTAAAAAATTTCGTTTACATAATTGGCATGTTTTTATATATTTTTTAATTGGATGAAGTTCAAATTTTTATATTTCTCGCAATATGCTTTAATTTAGAACTTCTAGTGAATCATCAAAAACTACCACCGATACAAATGTAAAATATTTCGAATTTATTTAATTAACGTATTAGTAGGTTTCTTCTTGATTAAATTTTTAATGTAAATATTCTTTCTATTTTTAAATTTATGCCCACTTATTATATTAATCTCTTAGTCTGTTTTTATTATGTGTGTTCTTTGAACTTTCTTTAAAAAAAAATTGAACATTTCCGCCATTTTAAATATCAAGACTACAAGACATTCCAGACACTAAAATGCTGTTAAAATTATCTTATATTTCAATGACCACTTATTACCACAAAGCTATTCAATTTGATGCTGATTTTGTTTACTTTTTTATGGTTTTAAGTTATTTTTATATTCTATGTCATATCAATACTATAAAATAAATAATACCAAAAAAATATATGAAATAAAACAATGATTTGTCTGTATTTCTTAATTATTATTTGAAATTATTTTATTCTGTTCATATTTGTACAAATACTTGAGCTGTAATTGATAACATTCACACCAAATGTTGTAATGTAGCAACTTGCCCTTCATAATAAACAGAAATGTCAGAATAATTTTATAAATGTCTTTATATATGTATGATAATAACAGAAGTATACGAGGTTATTAAAGTATTAATCATAAAAATTCATGAATATTTTACATATTACATATTATATATAGTACAAAGGCCATGTTCTTGGTATTTTGTTACAGTAATAATATAATTATTTTCAGTTTCATTGAACTTATAAAGTTGTACAATAAGTTTTTTTTTCATGGGTGTTGTATGGATTATTGTTAGATTAATGTTTTTAGTAAATAATTCGATATTGCATGTTGTTAAATTAACTCTATAACCTCGTATTTAAAATGGAACACTTCAAGCTTATCACAGATTCAAATGTGATAACGTTTGAATTTGAATATTTATATTCATATGTAATAACACATTTTGTAAATAATAAAGTAATTATATTTTAAAATTAAATTGCATTCTTAATTAAGTATAAAATGCACTGTTGAATTGATGTGTTTTGTTCGGTTATAATTTTATAAGTATATCCATTTTGGTCTTAATGTTGTACCAACTTAAATTAAATAGATGTTTCAAATTACAAACCAATTCATATTATTCAAAGGTTATATTCGATATTTGTTATATCATAAAATAATATCTGAATGTTCGACGTATGTCTATTTATTCGCTTCGCTTTTTGAATTTTGATGAGTTTATACTTTATTTTATAGTACTTTAGTTTGAAATGATATAGAGGTTTGCCAATTTTTTCGCACGAATAAGTTCCTTTGGGAAATAATTATTATAAGCAGCTGTTCTATGTAAATATGTGGTGTATAATAGTTTTGTAGGAGCTAAAGTCACAATATTGACTTAGTATCAGTATAGTATGGTAATATAATTACTTATGTGTTTTTCGATTTTCTTTCTAACGAGAATCGTTATAATTATGCATGTAAATCTTTCGTCGTATTTGTGATAGCTGCGAGTGGACTCTATATTTCTCGTTTTTCTGTGAACAATTCAAAAATTAATGTTTTTTTTTGTTTTTTTATTATTTTGATTGGTCGATTTAATGTTTTGGTTTAACATTGTTTGTCATCATGTGTTTAAAATTTATATTTGACCAAGAAGCGTAATATAATTTCCACTACCGCCCGCAGCTGTCCGTTATATTGTAAGTTAGTTTTAGGAACTTTCAAAGATAAGTGTAATCTTAGTATGATAAAATTTATAGTAGGATCGTGCAGTAGTCATTTCATTGGCCAATTATTTATTTCTGTTAGATTTTTTATTAAATTCTAATGTTTTGTAGTTGATTTCTCAAAAATACTACACACAAAATGCATTTGAATTATAATATTTTAAAATAACAACGTATATTTTTAAAGTAATGAAATTCTTTAACTTCTCCAATGTTAACAAAGGCAGTACCAGTGAGGCTGGGTTTTAAAAATACGTAATCTACAGTCTTGGCGCCTATATTAAAAACAGTGGATGTATATATAAGAAATAGTAGATTTTATTGTGAAAATCATACGAGTAATGTCCATTCAACATAATTGGATCTCATCAAAATTGTGGAGGAATTAGTAATAAGAATGTGATAAATGAATATAGGGCGGTTAAAGTTAAGTACATATATAAACAAGTTCGAAATGTTCAATCGCCGTTACTCGCATGGCTTATAATCGCTTCTGTCCACTCGTTTAATAAAACAAGATCTCATTAATTATTAATATTGAAAGATGAATACAACTTCAGATAGGTTAACTATAATGTACTTCGTATTTCATTGTAAGGTTAAGTAGATATGTAAACCAAAAACGTAACTGGATTGAGATGTTGCTCCAAATTCTGCGTCGTACCAATCTGACTGCATATCACTCGATACGATCGAGCCGCTATCTACATCGTTACTTTTTATGTATAGTTTCGAATGAATGTTGTAAATTAGAGTAGACGTTAAAATGTGGCATTTAAATGATAATCTCCAAAAATGGTGTTTCACTGTACAAGCTGTATTCTATTGAGTTTTAAGTAGCTTAATATTTATCTTTCCCACTTAACTTCTACGATTATGGATTCATGTGATACTTCTGAATAAGTTGTAATGTACATGGAATTAAAGGCTCTTCGATTCTATTGTTTTGTATTTTATTTGTACCTTTTGATTTTTGTGTTGAAAATGGACAAAGCATATAGTTGAAATGCAAATAGGATTCGTTGAACACTTTTTAGAACTGCATGAGATGTGTACAATCCCTATTTAAAAACTCCAATATGATCCCATCAAAAGCGAAAAAGCCACATAGAAACCAATAAATGTTTATTGGTTCCTATGTGACTTTTGTAGCTTTTGATGGGATTCTAGTGGAGTTTTTCAACAGGGATGGTTCAGTTTAGTTGTACAAAAATATTCATTAGTTATTCTAAATGAAATTTACGTGAAACAATGAATATTGTCACATATCTATAATAATATTATAAAGAGGCAGTTTGAACGCGCTAATCTCTTAAACTACTAATCCGATTTGAAAAAACTTTTTATATTAGATAGCCCGTTTATTGAGGGAGGCTAAAGACCTATAGCCAATATATAAAAATCTCGTGACACGGTGTTTGTGATCGCTCTCCCACGAAACGACTCGACCGACTTTAATGGCTGTTTTTTTGTATATTGGGTAAGTATGAAAATATGTCGTAAAGTATTTTTCACCCTACCTGTGGGTTACTCCCATTTTTTAATCACTATTTTTGTATGAACAATATTATTTAATTACATACCGACGAACACCAGCGAAGCGAGGGTGAGTCGCTGTATAACATAAAGTTTTTTTTTGTAGATTGAAAGCGGGCGAAGCCACGGGTTCTGCTAGTATTATATATATTATAGTCTATCTACTCCATACTAACCGTCAAAACGTATCTAGGGACGAACCCGAGCGAAGCGTGGGTGAGTCACTAATGCAATGTAAAAAACTACATACAGTACATTGTCATTAAAATTCCATTAGTTGAATTTTACATAGACCTGGATGGACGCCCAATGAACAGCAAGCTTTGTAGAAAATGAAACAAATACAAAATCAGTCAAAATAAAAGGTAAATATCGAAATAAAACGACAAAAAGCTTTCGCTAATTTATTATATTAATACATGGATGATAAACACTATTATTTCTATATGTGACAATGTAAAATGCTTTTGGTGAAAACAATGTGATGTCGACGTTATAAAAATATATTGCACCTTGTAAGCCCAATAAACTTAACCAATAATATAATTTCTACGAATAACTAATGTCTTTAGTAAGGCCAAAACTGGCTCCACACTGGCATATTACACTTTAATTTTCCTTACAATTATCTACCTAAACAAATAGTTTAAAAGTTTTCTTATAAACATTTCGAGATATTTTAACTTTACAAGCTATTGATTTGTCACAATGATTTAGTTTAGAAAGTTCGATGACGAGTGTGGAGCTTGCATTTTATAGGTATTTTTGGAAGTATCGACTTCTATAACATATTTGAACGTCAAATCAAGGTGTAGTAACGAAAATTTAGAATGTAAAGATGAAATAATTTATTTTTTAAGATAAATATTGAAGTAGATCCGTTATGTAAGTGAAATAGAATCCATATAGATTATAAAATACTTTTTCCCTTAACAAATTACATCGAATTTATGAGTTAAAAAGCGAAACATAGTAATTTATATACGTATATTCAATACGTAAGGCACAGTAAGTAGGTAATTAGATTTAATTAATAATTTGTATATATTCAATTTTTTTTATTAATGAAATAATTTCGGAAAGAATTTGTGACCGACATATTATGGTGGAGTGACAATATAGGACAGATTGTCTAGTATAAAAGTAATTACGTTAATTCTTTAAAAAAAAACGTTCTCTGACTTTAAACTCACATAATAGTAATTATTGCAAACTTAGAAGTGATATTTTTTTGGAATTTCTATGAGACCACTTGAGGTATAAAGCCTTTTCTTTAAAAATAGAATGAAATTATGAAAAAATATTCTGATTATACTTTACTGGAGTGAATTCTTTATAAAATCGAATATAATCTATAATTTGATATTATAAATCATGGATGACAATGTTATAAATATATAATATACATGGGAGATGCAAGCTAGCTTTAAAGAAGCAACGACACTGACGTATAATGCCTTATAATAAATTCCCTACATTAACAAACATTTATTTAGAATAACGCATTAAGAATAAAGGTATCATGACGGACCATATATATATGTTAATAACCCGTATTCTTAGAGCTATATTTGGTCTTAAAATCGATAAATTGTCTTTATATTCATGTCTTTGCATATAACGTGATAATATTATATAACTATAATGGATTCGGGTTTTACCATATAACTTGTACATTTTATTTGCCTTGGATATCAATAATTAACGAATATATTTAAATTTATCTATAAACATAGAAGCCTAATACATGCGTTATCTCTATATATTAAATTCACATTTAATTTATAAAAAAAAACAAAAACATAGCCATAACTATCAGTTATAAAAATGAACAGCTACAAGATCAAAAAAATCTATTATTTTTTACTAAATTAGTATATTATAATATATATTTGAATACAAATATTTTGTGTTTCGCACCGTCACTATTTATCACAGTTTCCCCAATCCAATAAACTTTGCCAAAAAGCCAACATAAGAATGTCTGTATGTATATGTATGTATGTGTATGTATCTGAAGTCTACATATGAATGAAAGCATATTTTGTGCATTTCTGTTATATTGTAAGCAACACTGTTATATGTACAGATGTATAAGAATTTCTTAAAATGTTCAATGATGTAAGGGAGAAACGTTAAATATTTAAAAACATGAATTTGCTTAGTCTAACCTAAATCTTATGCTAAATTAGAGCTCTCAATCATGGCACTTCTATTTTAAAGCGATTTTTTGTAACAACGAGTATTTATATTATGAAATATTATCATCACCGTGCCATTTGAAGCACGATTAAGGCGATATAGAATATACTAAATATGTAAGGATATGAGAAGCATTCGCGCTAAGAGAGTATTCAGTATGGTGTACATATTAAATATTATTTCGATATTCCATTTTATAATAATGTAAATAATGATTTTTATACATAAAAATAAGCACTGGCACCTAATTTAGTCATCTTGACACAAAAATACATTAATTTAAAATAAAATAAATTGATTTGAAATAATATAATAGTAACTTTACATGAAATTCATGATAAGATTCTAAGTATCTTTCATATTCTTGAATGAAAATTGCAAGAAACAAGAATTAGGAAGAAATTTATTCTGGCAACCTCGTAAAGTATTATTTGTACTTTCCTTTTAAAAGTGATTTTATTAGTACAACTAGAAACACTAGCACTAGCTTTTAAGATGTAATAAAGCTGTTAGAGGAGCTAAAGTTTTTTTTTAAGTACGATCTCGAACCATCAAGTGTCAAACTTCGTAATATATTTAATGTAATTTAGAAATTGCTACACACATCATATAAATATTTAGTTAGGAAATTTTATAAAGAATTTGATATAGAAAAATTTATAAAGAATAAAAATCCTTATATTAACAATAAATTAATTCTAATAGCACTATAGTCAAAATACTAAAACGTAGGCTTCATTAATTATATATGAATACTGAGTGATGTCAACATGCAGTAAACAAAACTTTTCGATAAAAGCTCAGCTAGTTTGCACTAGCACATTTTCCTTTAAAATAATTATATTTTATTAAAGCTCTGTTAAAACTGAACACACGAAGCCCACAACACTAAGATTAGAGCAACTGAAAATTAAGTCAAAAACTAATACTAACAAAAAAAAAAATCAAGAAAAAAACATACTTAAAAGTAATTTGCATGACACAAACAAACATACAATTCGCATTATGCAATAAAATTAAAGGTTTGAGATTTATGTGGATGTGATGACGCGCAGTTCATTTTCCACACACTTTTCCATCAAATCGTCTAACTCGCTTATATTTTTCTCTTTTCTCTCATACTTTTGTATGAACTCCTCGATTTCGGTCAAACACCCGTTTTCAATTTCGCAGAGCAATTCGGCGATCTTTTCGTTTCCACCTTTTGCTACGTTTTCGTTGTGAAGCTTGTATAAGTAGTGCTCTCTTTTTTTCTGTTAATCAATAAATATGTTACGTTATATATAACGATGTATAGATAATTTTTGATCCAATTAATATTAATTAACACGTGAGCGACCTAGCCTTGCTTGGCGTAGATGCGCGTTCAGTTGTAACAAATAGATATTTTTGTGGAAAATTTGCGTTTTTTTAAGAAAAAAACCTAGGCAGATAAATCTAAATACAAATCCAAATGATTTAAATCGTTACAGCCGTTTTCGAGATACACGAAATAAATTAATAAATATTTTATTTATATAGATTTACATTTATTTATTTTATACAGGAATTGCTAATTTAATATTATAAGATAAATTTGGAAGTTTGTCGTGTGGTGTGTATGTGTGTTTGTTTGTTTCTTCTTCACGCTGTAACAGCTGAAATGGATTTAAGTTAAATTGGAAATAGAGTTTTTTCTTCTTGGATAAGCTATACATAAGCTTATTATATTATACTAGCATTACTACGGCTACATAACTACGGCTCCGCCCGCGTTCAGACGACCAAAAACCAAATTGTTAGGTTTTGCATATTAATATATACCAGGTTTCATTGTCCACCGCAAGATTGAGAAAAAATGAGACGAGTTATTTTTCGCAATAAAAGGTATCTTATATGTTGACCCGGATAACCAGCTATCTCTATACCAAATTTCATTCAAATCCGTCCAGTAGTTATCTCGTGATACGTTTCCAGACAGATATACAGACAAAAATTCTAAAAACTATAGATACGGCCCTCTGCATCGATAATTATGTCTATTTCAATTAGATTTTTAAGAAAATATTTAAATTACAGATTCGGCTCAGTTAGAATTTTATTATATGTACCTATAGATTAACATTTTCATGGACGAACAAGTTTAAAAAGTAGTGTCTTTATATCTTTTTTGACTGTGATGTTCTTCGAGACTTTTTTTGCTAACGTTCGAGACTTGTTTTTGCCAAGTACATCAATTTAAATAGGTAACGCTGCCAGGTTTCTGGGCTCAAAGTTCGGACCGGGAAGCTTGTGAAGACGATTGATAGAATTTATTATTTGTAATGAAAAGATAAATTTAAAAATATATTACAAAGTATATTACTGTATTTAAGAGTTCTTGTTGATATTTATGTATGGAATTGAGATAATATATTACTCGTATTCGGGCTATCTATAATATTATGTTAATAAAATAAATCAAATGTAACTCGACGATATCTAAAATATAATATTTTTTTCTAATACAAATGTGTATGGTTGATTATATACGAATATGAAATATCGTAAATTAACTAGCAGTCATTTTTTTAGATAAACATATTATAAATTACCTCATTAGGACTCTCAGTGTGAGACGAGATTTTAGCATTGGGCGTAAAAACGAATGGCTTGAAATATGAAATGCTTGGGTCCGGCGTAGCAGTGAACCAATGAACGCTTAAACCTTCTGAAGTTAAAGATGACACCTAAAATAAAAAGTTTAATTACATATATAAGTACCACGAGAGTTTCTATGAAAAATACAGATGAATAAAATCGTACTAATTTGTATACAAAAACACATACAATGTATTCTAAACAATTCTATTAAGCAAAAATCAACCGTATGGCTTTAGTTATTAGTGTTATGTAACATATTCACCTGACTTCCTTGAGTTGGAAACGTGTCATCACACGCTCTGCAAATACCGCTCTCTTTATGTCTTAGAATTTTGAACATATCTTTAACATCGAAGTTCTTAGACGCAGTGCCTTCCTTTAACAATCTTTCTCCTTCTTGCTGTCGTTTTTCATCGCCGCCAGAGGAAAAGGCATTACTAAAATCAAATTTTCCCTGAAAAAAAAAGTTTTAAGCAACATGTTATCACCTCACAGTCCTAATTTGATTTATATTTTTATATAAATTCCGCGGCTTCGCTCGCGCTAAAACTACAAAAAAATATCTAAATAAGGTAGTTTCTTACAAACTTTCATCCCCTATTTTACCCCCTTATAGAATGAATTTCGAAAAATGCTACAACACGTATTTATTTAATTTTATTGAAGCGCATTAATACCAAGTTACAAGTAATTCTGATCATAAATATTTTTTGGATTGTATTATAAAGTGTTTTCCGTTAGAAAATCTTACGCGGTAAAAAGTAGCCTATGTTACTCTCCAGCCCTCCAACTATCTCCACACAAAAAATCACGCCAATTCATCTGACCACGTCAATCACGATTCGAAAGAAAGACAAACAAACACACTTTCACATTTATAATATTAGTATAGATGTTCTTATTTTAACTAAACTGTGTAATTTTTAAAATCGAATACTTCATTCTCCAAGAATTAGGCGTGACGATAAACTACGCTGTTCTCTCGCATACTATAAAATGTCTACATTTCGGTAGGCGATTGAATTTTTTAAGAATGTGCCATTGGAAGCATCCAATATATCTAAACAAAGAAGAAAAAAGTATTTAAGTTTTTTTAATTTTAGTACTTTACTAACACGAGTGTTAGAGTGAGACACTTGCTTTAGAAAATCTTACGAAAAATATTACGAAATACTAAGTAATATTTTATGGTATAAATGAAAAAAAAACCATATTAATTACGGAAACCTCCTCAAAATAAGTGCGACGTGCGTTTATATTACGATTTCTTATAATCATTCTAATGCATAATAACGATCATACAACGTACATATACGAGTATAATTACCTAAGTATGTAGTAATTAAACTTAAGATATATTAAGAAAATCACGGATATTGACATTACGTAAAAAAAATATTGTTTTACTGAAGCACATTCGATAAACTTCACGAAAAATATGATATTTTATGTTTTTGAGCCATTATTTTGTGATAGAGTATGAAAAATTGTAAGAGTCATCAGTTACCATTTGAGGTTGAATTTTAACCTCGAATAACTTTTAAACGAGTCGACTAAGCAAAAAATCATATTACATCTTTTTTATAGGTCGTTTAATTCCCTACAAGTATATGTTTTTAATTTGTCTGGACAATAATTCGTTTCCCATGTAAAAATGTCCCATGTAATTTAATATGGAAAATCAAAAATCACGATGAGCCACCTCATAATATTAATATTAGGAGCTCAAACTGTACCAGATTTTTTTTTCGTCATCTTAGACGATATTTTAATGGTAACTAAAGAAAAGATGTTTTTTTTGGCCCACCCTAATATATATCGTTTTATATACATAATTATGTAGCTAGTTTATTGAAGTGAAACTTCTTTAGAATCGTTGTGATTTGAAACTCGATGCAACGGAAATGCGACAGTAAAAAGAGACAAACATATAAATATATAGGATTAAGCCGGCGATAGAATGAGATAGAATACATTGCTATGATGCCATGGTAACCGTTGTCATGGTAACCGTTGTTATTTGATAGAATACATTACACAGGAAGTGAAAAATAATAAAGTTCATTACTGATTATTATGTAATGTTTATATTTATGTCAAATAAAATGTAAAATAACTTTTAAACTTGGTAAAAATAATATAAAAAAATCCTTATGATTATCCTACTCCTGATACTCTATATTCATATCATTTTCTGAAGTTTCACTTCTACGATGTGTGAATTGCACATTTTTTTCTAGTATCTATATAGGTATGTACTATAACAGCTTGTAAATTACGTACAATAATGCAATATAACAATGTAAGCATTCTGTAACAAGTATCCATTGAGATTAGATGTTGACATATTAATGAAAATCTATACTAATAAAATTGTAGGCAAGCCGAATCTGTACATTAAATATTTTTCAAAATCATATAAATAAATATTACATAATTGAGGCCGAATCTATAGTTTTTAGATTTTTTTCTGTCTGTCTGTCTGTCTGTTACCGCATCACAGAAAAACCACTCGAGGGATTTTGATGAAATTTGCTATGGTGATAGCTGGTTATCCGGGTCAATATATAGGATACTTTTTACCGCGGGAAAATATCTCATCTCTGGAAAAAAAATACAAAAATTGCATTGTAACAGTAATCTAATATGTAAAACCTAAGAATTTGGTTTTTGGTCATCTGAACGCGGGCGGAGCCGCGGGCAATAATAGTACGCCTATCAATATTTTAGTTATTAAAATAGCTTTGAATTAAGTTTTTTTTATCATATCTATATATGAAATTCATTCTTTCATTAATTAAATTCATGCAAATTATGGCATTATTTCTTTCATTCATTCAATTAAGTCGTATTTCGTTTATCTTAGAAAATAATATATCTCTATATTAACTTTAAAATACGGCAATGTGAAACATACCTTGCCATCCCAAAGTCCCATAGCCTCAGCTTTCTCAAGTAATCCTTCCGAATGCTTATCAATTTTTGTCTTTATTGTTAGGCCGTTAGAAATGTTACGGTATCCAGACGTGATCTTTTCCGCAGCCCACAGTTTTCCACTGGTTTCCAAAACCCAGGCTTCCTTACAATCGGCAATGAGAAAGGAATTGTGATAGAAATGACTATCATCATACTCAGAACATGGACCACCTTGCCCATATTTTTCAAGTAGAGACGTAATTACTTCTAATGCCTCTTCAGCTGAATTCCCTCTTTCTAATCCAAGCCTGTGTATTAAGATATAAAATAAATTTGTATAATAATTGTGATTAATATATAAATTTGGGACTTTTGTTTAAAAAAAGACATTGTCTGGAATTCAATAAAATGGTTAAAGTCTGAAATGCTATTATAATTAATTTTATACTACCATTATGGCCACTAAATGCAGTATGTGTAATAACAATCAAAATAACTATGCCGACTTGCATTGTAAAAAAAAACTTAAAAACATGTCCAAAAATAATGAGAATAATATTGGTAAAAATCAATAAATGGTATATTATCTTTCTGTCATTTTTTATGCTCTGAAAAACTCACTCTTTCAATTTGGGATATAATTGAAACAAAATCTCTAAATTTTTAATTTTGTCCATTTCTGTAAAGTCTGATTTTTAATTCCATGGAAATATGACAACTATCATTCTTTGACAATTCAGATATCATAAACCTTTTCTGCTTTGTATTTTTTTAATATAAAATAACAAAAAATATGAAACCGAATTAGATCAAGTAAACTATATGTATGACAATGTAAATAGTGTTTGTTTTGTGCAATCAATGCATGCTAACTATAATGTAAATTTTCAATGGTTAAATGAATAAAACAGAGTAAAACAAAATATTTTACAAACAAAGGGGTTATACTAAAAAAGGCTTGCAACCTATGGATTATTGTAACTTCAATAATATGATAATAAAAAAAATAATTACCATTCTAGAGTTATCAATAATTTTTTAAGTATTAGTTTTTCTAATTGAAACCTTAACTTCAAGAAAGGTTTATTTTTTTTATTTTGCTAAAATGCTTTCCGTTTTTAGTGACAATGTTTCAAAGTTGACAACACTTCTGAAATGTCAGAATTCCGTCGAATTAAAAATCAGACTATAGTTAGGTTTTATTATAATGGCTTTCAAAGAAACCATTTTGTTTTGTACAACTAATGATTTGAATTATAAATCTAACCAAGTTTCATTGCAAATAGTAAAGTAGATCCAATGATCCATCTTTCGCAACATTAAGCGACAGGATTAACGGTGGATAATACAATAAAATATTCATGAAGGTTAAGCCACAGATCTCTTAATTAATATTATTTCCGGTGTACCTTTTAATCATATATTGTTATAATTTATTTTAGCAATATACATGATATATGTAGTAAGTAATTAATAACATTTAAGCAGAGTGCGAATTGTTATATGCAGTGAAAAATACTGAGTAATTTTATTGAAAAAATATTTTACCTAACAAGATCCATTCCCAATAAACGCTTTTGTCTAGCGTCTCCATCACCTTCATTGTTGTTAGTCCATACAGCCTCATTACCAATAACTACATTTTTATCATTAGCACCCATTTCAGCACCCCACATCCATGAAGGTTTACTTAATATTACACTATTCAAAAGATTCGGACTTTCATCAATTGTTATATACGTACACTGTAAACAAATCAAAATAAAATAGAAATTTGGAAGCTTTCAAATATATAAATTAAATAGAGTGTTCTGTCATGCTATAAATTCTAAATAAAAATTTATTGTACATTGAAATCAATCAATTTTATACATTGACAAGTCTCATTATCTCATAATCTATATGTCCTCCCCGATGTGTGTTCACCTTGTTGTGGGGGTGGGGTAGTGGGGGTGGGGGTTGGGGAGCTCATTAGCTATCGGTAATCTAGTGAGACGTGCAGCCAAGAGAAACACTGGGAGGCAACCCACTTCAGTGGGTGGTGTAACATGCAGGTTGTTCCTGGTACTTCTCTGACAGCAGTGAATCAATGGAACCATAGATGTCGAGAGTGGATTGAGTGTATCTTTGCATGGACGCCGGGAGGGGAGTGCAAGGAGGTGCACTTGCACCCCCCTGTCACGATGATAACTATATAGAAAAAGTTAAAGAAATAAAATTATATGAGTAAATTCCGTATTAAAATTTACATATCTTCAAAGAAAAGACAATATATAAGATATGAATAAAAAATATAAAGTTAATCATTTAAAGATTAGTTAGTAACTTAATGTGAACAAGCAGATGCACCCCCCCGGAAATGATTCTGCCGCCGGCCATGTTTCTTTGCCAGCTGTCAGCTAAGAATGGCAGAATGGTGCAACAGAGATGCTTGACCTTATTATAAGTAAAACTAGAGGAATGCACAAACAAATCTATCCCAAGGGAACCATTCATTTTTCCAGGATAAAAAGTAACCTGTTGCATGACCGGCAATGTAAGGTATCAGCATGCCAAATTTTACTAAATTAGGTGCAGAAGTTGTTGTGTAGTAAGCTGTATAAATTACTATAGTTTTTTAATTATCCCACGGGAACTCTTTAATTTTCCTAGATGAAAAGTATCTAAAACGTTGACAGGACAGGGATATAAAGTACTACCATGCAAAATTTCATTTAAATCAGGCTAACAGTTTCGGAGATTAGCCTGTACAAACAGACAAACAGATCGAGAAACAAAAAATTTGAAAAACATCTGGATTTGTTCTATTTCTCTTCTTAAATCCCCCTGACTCGGTTTTAGCAAAAAAAAACTCTATGTTCGTACATTCGACCTCTATAGTTTTATTATATGTATTTATACATCTTTGTTTTGCTTAAATCATTTACATAAATTGCAAACTAAAACTATATAGTTGTATATGAATGAATGTTCATATTTGACAAATATTAAAGACAAATTATCTTCATATGGATCGAAGTCACAATAATAAGTGGAAATTCAATAATGACTGTATCTAATGTAAAAATTGATGAAGTCATCAAACGCCTAATAACAAGCACTTGAGGCATTGGAATAACCATGCATTGGGTATTTGAAACTGTCATGTTGGGTAAGGAAAACAAATTTCACCAACAGGAAAGAATAATAGGATATATTATGTGTATAAAGACTAGCCTAGGTTTTCCTTCTATCTGTGCAAATATATTTTCTTTGCATATTTTATACTAAGGACTTGCCCTCGTTTCACTCAGGTTTTACGTTTTATTAGATACAAATAATGATTAGCCTTGTAAATATCTTTTTGTGTTTTTTTTCTGTTTCAATAATTATTCTGCTTTTCGGGGAGAAGACAAATCTAGATATAATGGTGTAACTAACCCGACTCTGTTTTATATATATATATATATATATATATATATATATATATATATATATATATATATATATATATATATATACATATGTATTATAATATGTATGAAAATTATCTAAATTCATTTAGGTAAAAGTTTGAATAAAAAGAATACAATTTTTGTCGAAATATTTAATCGATTTTTAAATAATGAGAAATGTCCATATTTATATGTTGTTATTTTTTCTGGTTTACTTTTATACAAGAGCTTCAAAATTTACATTTAATAAAGATTGTTACAGAATTTGGATTAGATTCAGCTACAATTGTTCGACTTATGTGAACATGAAAACTTCTAGTAATATGTCTTTTCTTTATATCAATACCTTTTAATCATATTACCAAATAAACATGTCTCCACCAGGTTAATTTCTGTTTACAATATTAATGGAAATCAAAGAATAATAAGGTAATAATCAATTTCAAAAAAAACTTTCTGCATCTATGCAGCAAAATATGTAATAAGGAATGGAACAGTTTTATTGAGTCAAATAAGAAATTCAGAGAAAGTTAACTGATTAGAAGCACTTTTATAAATGTGATCATATTAACATACAGTCAATATGCTCTTTATTAAATGATCTATTAGTAGCATGTAGTTTATTAGTGAAATTAAGTCTGTATAAATATAGATTCTAAAGAGTATATGATTTAAATTTGGTTTAAAAATGTTACCTTCAATTTGGAATTTCGAGTTCGACCCTTTGACAGTATGACTTCTTGGACTTCGTTCTGAGGACGGTCGGAATTCTTCCCAAATATAACTGAATTTTTGTTAGTTAGCGGTGGTAAAACAACAAAAGTATCACACGATCTCGGCGACAGCCTTATTGGATTCATGGTTAAACAAATATGAACGTTATGATCTTAGAACCGGTTATTTATTTATTTCTACACACTTAACTGTCTGTAGCTTACACTGTCAGAATGAATGACAGGTTTCCTGTTATATATAACTGTCAAGTTGTTCTTGGTCTATGCTGTCAAGTGTGAACTGTCATTATTAATAGAGTTTACAACATGGAGGTTAGAGAACAGGAGAAAGAACGCTGTACAACAATGTGTTCTACACATTATCTACTTCTCTGTGAAAATAATATTGATGTAAACCAAAAAAAAGAACAACAGCTTTACTACAACTACATTATACATATAACTAATATTATTTAATTTGCCTAATAAATTTAGTTATAATATATTTCAGTTTAACCTTTAAAAGCATGTAATTAATTTGGAAATATTTCCAAATTAATTACATGTTTTTAAATTATACATAGTACCATGCTTACTAATATTATAAATGTGAAAGTGTGTTTGTTCGTTTGTTTGTTTGGCCTTGTTTCACGTCGATACGGAGTGATGGATTAACGTAATTTTTTGTGTGGAGATAGTTGGAGGCATAGGCTACTTTTAACCGCGGGAGATTATCTCATTCCCACGGGAAAACACGTTATAATACAACACAAAAAAATATTTATGATCAGAATTTTACTTGAAACTTGATATTAATGATCTTCAATACAATTAAATAAATATGTGCTTTATCATTTTTCGAAATTCATACCATAAGAGGGTAAAAAATGGGTGATGAAAATTTGTATGAAATGTAAATTTTTAGAGTTTTTTTGCGGTTTTAGCGCGAGCGAAGCCGCGGGTTCTGCTAGTTATAGTATAAAAATGTATTCATGTATTATTTCACGCGCCAAGAACTTGGAATTAAATTAATGAATCTATTTGAATAATAATTATATTATACAATAATGTTGAAACACATCAGTAACTTCCGTAGCTAATAGTAATACATATTTTTATTAGCTGAGCTTATAAAAAATGTTTTTAATGATTGTACTTATTCTGGAAATTTAAATAAACTGATGGATATATTGTATTGGATGGATGGGATATGACTGGATTATTTCATGTCATATTATTATGTAATAAATAGTACCACTTTATACCTTTAGCACAATTTCGACTTGGTAAAGTTTTATCATTTATTTTAGTGTGACGAGTGACGTTAGCATATTATTGTGTACTAGCATTGCCCACGGCTCCCCCCGCGTTCAGATGACCAAAAACCAAATTCTTAGGTCTTACATATTAGTATACTCTTACATTGCAGTTTTTGTATCTTTTCTCAGAAATGAGATATTTTCCCGCGGTAAAAAGTATCCTATATGTTGACCCGGATAACCAGCTATCACCATATTTGATCAAAATCCCTCCAGTGGTTTTTCTGTGATGTGGTAGCAGACAGACAGACAAAAATTCTAAAGACAATAGATTCGACCTCTGTATCGATAATAACGTTTATTTCAATCAGATTTTCCAAAAAATATTTAATGTATAGATTAGGCTTGGTTACAATTTTGTTATATGTATAGATTTCTTTTATATAAGCAGCTATATTAAAAATAGGTACCTACATTCAGAAGAAATTACAGTAAGCCAGCCAAGTAAATTACCTGTAATGGATCGAAAGGTATATCTTTTAAGAAACAACTAATAGCCTGGTTAATATCCCTACTCAGATAATTATGACATACTAGCAGTACTCACGGATTCCCTCACGCGAAAACTACAAAAAATCTCTAAAAAGGTAGATTTCATACACAATTTTATCCCCTATTTTATCCACTTATACGAAGAATCTCAAAAAATACTAGAAAATATTTGATTATAATATATATTATTTATAAGATGCATAAATATGAAATTTAAAGTAATTCTGATAATAAATATTTTTTTGGATTGTATTATAACGTGTTTTCCCGTAGGAGTAAGATAATCCCCAGCGGTAAAAAGTGTATATGTAGACTAGCCTATGTCACTCTCCAGCCCTCCAACTATATCCATACAAAAAATCACGCTAATCCGTCATTCTGTTTCGACGTGAAAGAAGGACAAACAAACACTTTCACATTTATATCATTATAGTATGGATTGTACTGTCGTTCGAAACTAAATAAGTTTCGAACCACTACCTATGACGGTTACCAGTTGTAGGTACTAGATATCTATACAGGTAAATAAAATAGAAGTGTCCGTTTGTAATGTCAAAATAACAGCGTTTTACTAAATACATTTGAAATTATGTACGGTACTTATAAGAAAAACACATTTTTTTATTTTTTGTCTGCCTGTCTGTCTGTTTGTTCCACGTAATCTCTGAAACGGCTGGACTGATTTTGACGGGATTTTCACTGGATGATAGCTGATGTTATAGGGAGTAGCATAGGCTATTTTTCTTTGAAAAAAATTAAAACGGACCTAGGGATGAACCCGGACGAAGCAAGGGTGAGTCGCTAGTATTAAACATTACTGATAGTTATGTATAGGATATGTCACGAGGTTATCCGAAGGGGAAGGGAAGGGATTCTTGATACTTGTCTACTGTCTACTATTTACCTACTACTAAATAGTTATTTCACATACTTTATTGTAAAAATAAACTATAAAGACTAATCTTCATATATAAGTTTTTTAGATAAATAAAATTGGACCGTTGTTGAAAGGTCCTTTTCCATAAATCATTTATGTAAATGCTCACAAGAAAATAAAATGTGTAAAGTCCGCCGGACGTGCCAACAACTTGCCGTCGTTTTCTAACGTTTTTACCTCCTACATCCTTTTTCTGTTAAAGTCGGTAGGTGAATTTAAAATACCTTCCTCTTTAAAAATATTTATAAAATAAGTAAATCTTGTTCTTTTTTCCAAAAAAATAATGGTTATTATGTTTAATGGTGCTTGTAAAGTTTATTTTGCTTTGATATGATTAGCTTTATTATTTAATGTTTATCTTTACCAAATATATTAAAATAGATAAGACCCACCACCCCTACCACAGACATACAACAACGTAATACTACTAGTACAAATACTCTTTCCTATAATTTAAATAAATTCGTTACTTTAATGCGATAAAAAGAGGAAAAATGCAAACCGCGGAAGAGATGTCTCATTTAGAGCCATTCCTGGACGTAGCAGCCAAGTCAACAGATTTTAGAATGTAAGGTATAATAGTTGAATGTGTATAATATGGTACTGGCCAAACTCGACTTTAGACTAGGCTGTTTGTCCTAGGCCAAACTGGTTCATCCTGTATCAGGGTATACTAGTTCAGACCAGGACAATTAAGTTTGGCCTAAATACTTAAGACTTAACGAGTTCGGCCTAGGCCGTTCTGGTTTTGAATGATTCAAGTAAATAATTAATGCTTAAAATTTAAAGGCAATAAATTAGAATATGAGCAATATTTATTCAAACACTAGCAAATCACCCTCGCTCCGCTCGGGTCCGTCAAGTGTTTACGTCTTAACGTCTAGTATAGATTTCTCCGAGATGATATATTTTGCCGCAGTAAAAACTGTCCTTGACCCGTACAACAATCATCATACTATATTTTGTCAAAATCTGTCCATTGGTTTTCTGGTAATCGGTGCCCAGATAGACAAATAGACAAACAGACAGACAAAAATTCTAAAAAATATAGATTCGGTGCAGTATCGATGATTATGACTAATTCAATAAGATTTTCCAAAATATATTTAATGTACAGATTCGACTTGTTACAATGTTATTATATGTATGTATAGATAAAGTTATGTCAAGCCAAACGCAATGGTCGACACAACTTTAACGTCCACGTCTGCCATGTTTGTTTGTATTGCACAGCTTGCCTGTCAGGAACACACTAACGTACCCGCAAGCGTGTAATTTGTAAATGGCATCCAAGCGTTTGTAAGGGCTTGGACACGGTAACCTTATGCATAATTACCGTGGCTTGGAGCTTGTAGACGTTTGTCAAGGTTCGGCAAGCGGTAAATGTAGCGATTTTTTATGAGTTGGATTAAAAATCTTAATAGGTATAGCTTAGTGGCTGTAACTACGCGTCACAAGATTTTAGTTAAACAAAATCGTCCGTTAGGTCGAATTTTGAATCATCTAATAGCAAATAATAAAACAAAAATTGTATCTCGACTACATTTGAGATCTTTAACAGAATTAAATATAATATCTTCAATAACTCGATTGCCCACCAAAACCATATCATTTAAGGCTGTGACTTTTTAATTCTTTTTTTTTTCGAGCGACTATACTCAAACAATCAGGTGATAAGTGTCTTAAATATTAGCATTAGTAGTAAAAAATTGTCGAATTATCAACTACTAGACGGATATGCGGCTAGGATAGGGAGATGGTAGTCGAGTTGTTAAGCTGGCTTGGCAAATCAAGTGAAGAAGGTTTAAATTTAAATACCCGGTCTTGCAACTTTGATTTTCTCAGGTACGAATTATTTTCAACCTACTTGCTTTAGGGTGAAGGCAAACATCGTAAGAAAACCTGCATGTCTGAGAGAGCCCAGCCAATTTGGAAAGAGACATATCATGAAGTCTACCAACCCACGCTAAGCCAGCACAGTGCACTGTGGCTGCGCAACAGAGACCCGTGCTCAGTAGTGAGACGTTAAAAAAGGGTAAAATAAAATCTATAATATAAAAATGAATCGCTGAATGTGTTGGTAAGCGCAAATCTCGAGAGCAGCTGAACCGATTTTGCTAATTCTTTTTTTAGAATATTTCTTGAAGTACGAGGATGGTTCTTACGGAGAGAAAAATTTAAAAATTGCCTGAAAAGTCTTAAAAACAACACTTTTTTATACTCCCATACAAAAGATTCGTAATAATACTTAAAAGTCAATTTGAACTTTAATACCATACCATAAAGTTTAAGTGTTAATGGAGAGGTTCCGGGGAGGCAAAACAATTGAGTGACGTCAGTAACGTATAAATATTAATGTCAATATTTGTCAATACTCAATATTATTAACAAAAAAATTA